TGACTGAAATGCATGAAAACCATTTTGCATTTAGGTAATAGCCGTTTTCTGCACACAAACTTTAGCCAGTGACGCCCTGTCCATTCTAAAGCGTTTATAAGATTGGTCCCAGCACCCGATTCTATATGAGGAAGTCGTTTAAAAAGCATCTTATTTCTAACGAATTTATGATTATGGCCACTTTTACAGGACGTCTATAGAGCTTTGACTTTTACATTTCTTCCTCGTTCAGGAGAAACGTTTTAACCCTCACCGGACCTTCAGGTTTCCTGAATACCGAGGGACGTTGGGGGTTGGAAGTGAGGAAACAACCCCCTTCGCCGATTCGCCCCTAATTGAGCTAGAGCCTCACGAAAGAAACGATCGTGTGCGTCGTTACGAAATGCAGCGATTGGTCTCCGATTTAAGGACCAGGGTCACCCGATGACTTCGGAGGTCAGGTCAAGAGGCCCAAGGCACAGGTTCGGTTTTTGGTAAATAACTTCGCTAAAAATGATCGCAGATCCGCGATTTTAGCCGCATCGTGTTTGTCTAGCTCAGGCGTGTCGAATGGTATACTTTTGCTTCGGGTGAGATCAACTTAACCCTCGCCCGTATAGAGGGGGGGGGGGGTCGAACGGACCCCCCTGGCCCCTCCCTCGGTTTTTCGCGAATAACTCGCGTAAAAAGCGGCCGATCGCGACGAAACTTTCGTTATCCTCGCTTTAATCAATTTTACACCCACCCTGAAATCGTCATGACCCTGACCTTAATGACCTTTGACCTGCGACCTACTTTTCGAGACCATGTTTGGCCGGAATCGCGATTCGGCGTATGTCGGCTCGCATTAGCGGCGCGTTTGCAGTCTTTTCGTGGTTTTAAGCGTTCAAACATGGGATATGATGTTGCTTCCATGCATTAGGGTGGGTGTCAAGGTCACCGGAAAGTCAGGTCAGGTCATTGACCTTTGATGACCTCGGTTCACTTTTTCGAGTTTTACATGTTTCTAGGCCAGTTTTAGGAGCTGAATTCGAATTTAGCAGCCATATGAACATTTACGAAGTAGTTTTGGTGCCCTCGTAACATGTTGCGAAGCTGTCAGAGGCGGTTGCCACCTACTACGAATACCCTTACTGGTTGACCTGACCTGACCTGACCCGACCTGGCCTAAATGCATGAAGACATCATCTGTGATCAAAACTAACATGATATTCGTGATCAGCACCCCGAAAACCCCATAGCAGCCACGCTTTACGACTTTCTAACAGGCCCGATTTTCCCGACTTTTGGGTCATTGACCTGACCTGGAAAGTCAACCGATAACCTAGGACCTTAAAATTGGGTATCATCGACTTCCTCTCGTCACGGCCAACACGCTCGTTTTTTCCGCGAAGCTCTAGCTCGATCAGGGGCGAAACGGCAAGGGAGGGTCCAACGGACCTCCCCCCCTTATACGTTTGCGGCTGGAAAAACACCAATATGGGCGAGAGTTAAGGTGTTAACCTCGGGTCAAGGTCAGGTCACAGCCCGTTAGGTCACGAAGCTGGTCAAAGGAGGTTATATTGCATATCAATCGATTCGGCAGGTCTTTTCATGTCCATTAGTGGCTTTATCGACTCGGTAGCTTTAGTTGATCGGGAGTTATTGACGAAAAACTGATACCCTTGGTTACGTGATAAATGACGTCACGCAAGATCAACAAAGCAAAATTAAAGCATCAGACCTTGCAAGGAGCGCATGAAATCACGATTCCGTGTGCTTGAGAATTTGAGATAGTTGTATATCATTTCTGGACCAAACTAGCAATTTCCATATTCCCCTGACTTTTAATGGTGAGAGACTGACCTGATTTCAGGCGACCCTTCAGAAAATCCGAGATATACATTTATACAAGTTGTGAGACTCTCGATCATACTATAAGATCCTGTAAGTTTCATCTCCCTATGAAAGCTCTGCACTGAGGGTGTAGCGAAGTTGAACATTTTAGGAGTGTGCACACAGTCCTAAAATGTTGAGGACAGTTTAGGACAGTTTCACACAGTTCATTTTATGACTGCTCATTTATGACGTCATAGATCAGTGACCTGACTTGACTTAAAAATGCGGTTGGCGTAAAAAATCTGACTTATCAAATCCCGACTAAAAAAATCGACTTATAATTCGGTTAATCAAATCCCGACCATGTTTTTACCTGGCCATTAATGTTCTAGCCTTACAGGTGATTGTTTGAACGCGGAAGATGCTGAATCTTGGTTAACCCCATACTTATCGTATGATAAAGAACGTCAGTGTTAGAAAGTTAATTAACAATTTTATTTAGGATAGTTTAATTCAAGTGGGTATAATCCGACTTGACAATTTACTAGGAGGGTTTTGCAGCGCTATTAATTCGGCATTTAATTATAAATCATTGCTAATTTCGATCCGGATATCGTTATTCAATGCTGGCCTTTGCGTCCTCAGAAAGTTGTTTATAGTCATGAAGGCTTGCATTGACCCATACTTTCCATTTTTCAGCACTATTATTCGCCGTAGTTGACCAGGTGTTTTCTTCAGCTCTCCCCTGAATCCTTTGGCTTAGACCTGGCGTATCACCCGTGCATCGCAATACGCACCTACCACACACAAGTTCATGATCCCCACGAACCCACATCAGCGTCCGTTCGCTTGGTGTGTGACCCCTTGACCTTTGGCCGCGACAACTGCCAGCTTGCTGGAGCACCCCTCCCTACACGCGCTGCCCCGCCCGCTCCCCTCCCTCCCCCCCCCCGGGGTCGTGTCACGAAGGTTCGGGCTTACGCTACTACCGGCCGCTGCGCAGCTGTCACCTAGCGCCTGGGAATGTGTGGTCTGGTGCGGATTCAGCCAACTACCGGCTCGCGACACCAGCGCCACGTAGTGGCGACGGTACATTCTTTTTAGACACACTGTACATATGTTGCTATTAGAGGTCACTGGTCATACCAGGACAGGTCACAGGTCAGGTCACCAAAGGTCACCAAGGGTCACCACATGAGCCCAACTTTACTAAGGTTATGCGATGCATGTTTTATGGCCAGTTTTTCATTTCCAACTCAATGGTGTTGGTTATAAGACCATCAGGTACGGTTTAGGTCACTTTCTGGTGGAGGTCAGGTTAGTCCCCTCCGTGGCCGAGTGGATTAAAGCGCCGGAATCCGACGCTTAGCCGGTAGTGAGAGCCCGGTTCAAGCCCCGGTGCGGGCGGCCACGTTTAGCTCCTACGCGTAATGGCGTGCGTGTCTGTGGCAGGGGCCGCACAGAAGCCAGGTAACGTGAGTGAGCGGAGGGGACCGTGTCCAGTCGTGAGGGCACGTTAAACGTTCGGACAAAATTCTGCCATACAACTGGAATTGCGCGATCGGGTGGTGGGGTCAGGGTCAGCACAACAAGCTATGCTTAGTGCGGGCTCTGATTCATCAAATCCACCCATTCAACCATTCGGACTAAATTTATTAAAAAAAAAAGATAAAAAAACGTCAGGTAAAAAAAGGTCAAATTTCAAAGTTGATATTTTTGCATAAAATGGGTATAAATTCGATGCAGCTCGTCACGGGGAGTCTAATGGTGGTCTTTGTTTTGCTCTACGAGGTCTAGAATTGCTAGAAATTGAGTTTGAAAATTTGACGTCATCAATTTTGAACAGTTTTTTTCGCTATAACTTGGCCAAAAAAAGAGGTATCGATCTCAAATTTGGTATGTAGATAGAAGGTGGTAGGGACTATCACATATATTCCGTTTTTTTCGAAATTAAAAAAACGTTTTTGATTTTTTGGCTATCATATTCAAAAAATCTATTTTTTGATTTTTGGGGGTCAAAGTCCAAAAAATTTGAAAAACCGAAATAGCAGTTTTGTAGCCCTTTTGATTTCACACCTTTTATGTCTGAAACATTTTTCTGTATCTCTAAAGCTGTAGGCCTGACAGCTCTTACCGCGAAACCTTTTTTTTGGGTCAAAAATGGCAAAAATGACGTCACTCTGACGTCATTAGCGGCTAACCTATCATAGCCTTTGGATTTTTTTTGTCACCATGTGCGCTAGCTGCTCCCGGGAGGGTACTGAAAGTTTGGTGACGATCGGCGCAGCGGTTCTCGAGATATATTGAAAAAAAACTAAAGGGGGGCAAAAAAATGCCCCCCTCCCCCCACCGCCTGGAAGGTTAAAAAAACATCTTCTGGTCAGTGTTGCCCATAAAACGCAATGGAAGTGGTGTTAATGTATTATTAAATTATTTTGAGCAGATGAAGGTCAAGCCAGGGTACCAGGTCAAAAAATAGTCAAGATATTGCAGAAACACGACAGGGGGCTTTGTAGCGCCCCCCCCCTCCTCAGTCATACGCGGCGAGTAATAGCAATGATATGAGACCGGCTTACTTTTTTGCACATCAGTGATCAGTTTTTTTTTTGCGTAGCTGGCGAAATTCATGGGCGTCTTAAGACAAAGTAGGCCTTCAAGTTAAACAAAAACAACCGCAGCCGGCGATTTTTTACGGTAAAACGCAAACAGGGCTATGAAGTGTCAAGTGAGGTGTAGCGAAGTGTATAGTCAGTCGATGACACGAAAGCATTGTTGGTATCAGTTAGGTTATTTAATTACACTGATCTGCATAAACGTTTTACTTTACTGGATTTGGGAAGATTAAACCGAACATTTAAATTAAACCGGGCAGTGGCTAATTTCGTGCTGATTCCGTGCTCGACAACATCGCCGGTGTTTCGCGCTGTGTGGCAGAGGAATCAAATCAAAAGATCTCAAAACGAGCCGCCCCCGGATCGGTCCGAACATCTGTTCTTGCTAACCTCAGGACTAGCCCATCCGCATCCTTCTTCACTCTTCCTTGCCCGGACTGACGGTCATCCCTCCAGACAACCCTGCAGGCTCCAGTCGTTACGCATATATATATATTATTGGTGACGTTGATTTGTTTTGTGTTATATTGTCTACGTTTATGTTATCTGATTATGTTGAAGTGGTTCTAACGCGACTGACTGCTTTCGCAGGCGGTGTTCACCCGCGACAAGGGCTCGTTCCGGTCCGTCTACATGCGCGCCCTGTTCAACGAGGACCAGTACCGGCTGGCGCTGGAGGATGAGGGTGTTCGACGCGCCTTCTCCATGCTGCTAGCGCACACCTGCTCACGCTGCCAGCCGCCCAAGACGTTCCCCGTGTTCAAGCAGTTGGCTGACCACATGTTGCGCCAGCACCAGTTACAGTTCTGCGAGCTGTGCGTTAAACATCTAAAGGTGGGTGTTAGGGATGTCGGGACCGAGCTGTTGCTGCTATAGCGGCTACCATGGTAATTGGTAGCACTGCTGAGTGGTGGTGGTAGCGGCACGGTGTGATGGTCCATTTAAAAGTTTCAATTCGTTGACGATATCGTGCAGTGCACATTGTCTTGCCTTTGTGCAGTGTACCAAACACGCAGTGTTTGTGAGCTCTCTTTGGCTACTCATTAAACCAGAGAAAAAAAGTTAATGTCATTCTTTTGTCCATAATATCTTCACGCCACACAATACACATGACAAATATGACATTTTGTCGGTGTATGTTTTCAGATATTTACCAGCGAGAGAAAGCTCTATACTCGTGAAAAATTGGCGCTACATAAACGAAAAGGCGACCCAGATGATTCGTCCCACCGCGGTCATCCTCTATGTGAATACTGCCAACAAAGGTACGTCCTTGTATATTTCGTGCTCACGCGGTCCTTATTTCCCGATGATACGCAAATGCCACAAGCCGTGGTAGGCGGAGTATAACCCTAACAATGGTACTCCATGCTCTGTACATTATTTGGCCACTAAAATGCATCGATTGTACTTGATTTTTATTTATTAGGAGATTGAGGGAGGGGCTGGTGTTAGTTATCATTGCCTTCTTGTCACCGGTTAGTTTGCTGGCGTGTTCCGTCTAATCCTTAGGGCTCGGCCGCTTATCAGCCGTGTTGTGCCGACTGAATCCGTCATGGCGTGGGTCGGGTGCTTGTTGATGTACTCCTGCGTGTGTTGCAGATATAATGATAAAGATGAATTGTTTCTTCACCTTCGTCGGGATCACTTTCACTGTCACCTCTGCGAGGCGGATGGACGCCACATATTTTATGAGTAAGTTTTAGCCACTAAAACGCAAAAGCATTGGCCAGTCTTAAGGCCTGGCTACACTATGCGTTTTCTGCGTGCGTTTTTTTGCGGGTTTGCGTTTTTTCGCGATATTATTAAAGCAAAAGTTATGAATAATACATGTTTTACATTAGTTATACACAAAAGCTCATATAACTTATATTTATTGATATAATAGGTAAAAAACATCACAAAAACGTAATATCGTTCTTTTTTCTAGAACGGTATTACGCAAAACACGCAAACACGAAAAAAACGCACGCATAAAACGCGTAGTGTAGCCAGCCTGCTACGTTACACACTTTGCGTTTTCATGATCAAGTACAAATAAGCTAGCATAGCATTGGTTTATAATGCGAATTATGTTGTATGGTGTACTTATATCTATAAATATGAGTACCTACGATGGGCAGTTGTGGTTTGCTGTCACCGTATATTTGGTCATCAATTAGTAATGCATTTCCACGGTCGTAAAATGCTCGTGAACTTTCCTTTCCACCCAAGTCGTCCCTTTCCACCCCTTTGTATTCCCTCTACCGTTTGATGCCACTCTCTAACCAATAACCATCCTGTTAAATAATCATTTCAAAATATGTGACGTTTTTCAGCGATTATGCGCATTTGGCCGACCATTTTCGCGAGGACCACTACTTCTGCGAGCAGGGCCAGTGCAAAGATGAAAAGTTTGTTGTATTTCGCAGCGAAATGGATCTTAAAGGTAAGTACAGTGAACGGGGATATTTTCCTAAGCTTAATGTTGTTACCAGAGTGAAATTGTCATATTGCGTACCGTCTGCAGTCACATTTGTCGAGTAGGGCAGATAAAGTCATTTCGTATATTGATTCACGCAGCATAACCTAACGGTAACATATGAAGAATATGTAACATGCCTTGTGCTATATTTCCTTGACTTATATTATTGTTTGTCGACACCCTCGACTGGCTATGCAGGCTATACAAACGGCTGGTTCGGACACCCTCGTATGTCACCGTCCCTCACCACCGATAAACCACCTGTCTCTGTTGCCACCCGCTATCTCACCCCTCCCCCCCCTCTCCTCGTGCAGCCCATCGCCTGACGGTGCACTCCGAGAACAAGAGCCGCGGCCAGCAGCGGCAGGACCGCACCCTGACGCTCGATTTCAGCTCCGAGCAGCCGGGACGGTGGCGTAGGAACGATAGATACGACCGCAACGACAGATATGACCGGTAGGTCGGGTATCTGAGATAAAACGGCAGGTAGTGATGTGGTGTGGAGGGATGTGTTAGCATAATCAGATGCGATATGGGGCACTAGGTCAGCTGATACAGAAGGTTTAAGTCTTTGGTCAATCCTCAAACAGCTGTTTGTTGAGCACTGAGTTGTGACTCATTTTTTATAGGGCTGATGGATAAAATTAATCCATGTTCTAGAGGAGGAATGTGATAGCTGTTATCGTTTATTGTTGTGTCTGACATAAGGTACCACCGATTGTGATGAGGTTAACGTCTAAGTGAAGCTGGTATTGAATCGCTCTGAACATTAATGCTGTTTTACTTAATTCATAGCGGAAATTGCGATTAGATAGAACAGTTCTGCAAATACTTGTGACTCAGCAAGGGAGTCTCGTGCTGCTCCCGACTCCGACCGCGTCCTTTTTTACCGTCCACCACATACAGTTACGGCCTAAGTGACGTCATCCTCTATCGTTCTGCCGTCTTCCTGTGTCCGTGGCCGTATTTTCCGTTTTCTGGGATACAGCTATCATTAACCCTCGCCGGACCTATTGGTTTTCTACATACGCGCCGGCCGAGGGGGGGGGGGGGCGGGTACGACCCCCCCTCGCCGTTTCGCCCCTGGTGGAGCTAGCGCGTCGCGGAAAAAACGAGCGTGTGCGCCGTTACGAGACGCAGAGATTGGTACCCGATTTTAAGGTCCTAGGTCAACCGGTGACCTCTGAGGTCAGGTCAAGTGCCCCAAGGTACGGTTCAGTTTTTGGTGAATAACTTCGCAAAAAACGGCCGCAGAGCGCCGATTTTGGCAGCATCGTGTTCGTCTCGCTCAGGCGCGTCGAATGGTATACTTTTTGTCCGGGTCAGGTCAACTTGGGGTGTTGACCTCAGGTCAAGGTCAGGTCAGCACCCCCAGGTCACGAAGTTGGTCGAAAGAGGTCATGTCGCATATCATTCGATTCGGCAGGTCTTCCTGAGTCCATTGGTGGCTTTTCCGACTCGCTAGCTCAATTTGATCAAGAGTTATTGACGAAAAACTAATATGACCTTGATGACGTCATAAATGACGTCACGCAAGGTCAACATTGCAAAAGTGACGCATCTAACCTTGCAAGGAGTGCATAAAATCACGATTCTGTGTGCTTGAGATAGTTGGAGATCGTTCCCGGCGCCAGAATAGCAGTTTTCATTTTTCCCCATTGACTTATAATGGTGAGGTCACGAAAATGACCTGACCTCATATGACCTTTAGGAAAAATCCGAGATATACAAGTTGTGGGACTCATAATGGATACTAGATCCTGCAAGTTTCATTTCCCTGTGACATCTCCTCTGGCAGTGAGGGCGTTGCGAAGTTGCGACATCTGAAGACCGTGCAGAGGTTCACTTATGACGTCTTAGGTCAGTGACCTGACCTGACCTAAAAATGCGGTTGGTGTCAAAAGATGCGGCTTGGATCAAAGGTCAGGTATGCCAAGTTTCAGCTCTCTATCGTCAGCGTGTTCGGAGCTATCGCGAAAAAAACCTATGGGGGGGGGGTGGCACCCGCCCCCCCCCCCCCCCCCCTCGGCCGGCGAGGGTTAACTTTCCGTGCTGACATCATCTACCGTCTGCGTCTTCCCATCCTCCAATTCCGGTAGCGTCATCGGCAGTTCATGATGTCATCAGTTATCGGCACGGAAATTCTAGCTCCACCGTCCGCAATATCATCTACCATGTGTGAAACCAATAACCATCCTCTGCCATTTTCGGTGACATCAATATCACCAATCATGCTCTGTGACGTCATCTACCATCCAAGACGTCATCATCTTTGGGGACTGCCGTTGTTGGCATTACTACATTTTGAAGCCGTATTTCGCCTGTATTTTACCATCCGCGATATCACCTCCTGCCATCCATGAAGTCCGCATCTTCTGTCATCTACCATCCTGGCTTGTCGTTAGTATCTACCATCCATGGCATCACGATCTTCCGTCGACGACATCCTCCATCGGCCTGGGCATATTCTTCCATCCATGTCGTCATCTTCTACCACTCGTGACGTCACGCTCCGCCGTGGTGACGTCTTTGCAGCCGGGAGCCAAGTGGACCCCCGGAGCCGCCGCCGTCGCCGCCGCCGCCTGCGCCCCAGCCGGTCAACACTAGCAGCCAGCAGGAGTTTCCGACGCTGTCCGCGGGCGGCGCCACCGGCGGCGCAGAGCTGCCCGCCAGGTCAGCTGGGTGATGAGGGCTGAAACAGACTTTCGGCAGGCAGGATTCACATGCATAAATCTCGATCACATCGATCAATCGCACGGATGTGCGTGCGCAGCGTGCGATCTATTGATGCGATTTACTATCAAAGGAGCCTGTTTCAACCTACAGAATGTGGAAATTGTGTCGTTATGAGAGGCTTAGGACAGGATAGTGGAATATTGTTTGTGTTTCTATGGATTGTTTTGCACACCGCTCCGTGCTTCTATCCTCAGGAGACTGAAATCCTTCTCCTCCACGCCGCAACCCCCTCCGGGCTGGACAGGCAACTTTATCTCATGCGGGCTGCTCCCTTGGAGCGGCACCGCTGCTCCCGAGGGAGCGCACCCCGTAGCCGGATGCAGTGAGTACCTTGGGGCTGGGTGGCCTGTCCTCTGGACGGGCTCAGCCCCGGTGACTCACTAGGGTGCCTGCCCAGACCAATGTCTCCCCCTAAATCATATCATCCTCCCGGCTCTGAAATGGTCTCGTCAGACCGAAAGGGCCCAACCCAACAAAACAAACAAACAAACAAACAAACAAACAAACAAACAAACAAACAAAGACGTCCTGAAATGTGTACAAGTCATAATCTCTTCTTCTCATGTCGCCGGTCCTCTTCTCATGTGTTGCACTTTTGGTAGAGGATATTGGTAAACATGCTGAGACGAGAATGTCGGGGCAGTCCTGTCCTGTCCTGGGGCGCCGTTTCGTAGCGTGTTCACTGTTGTGTTGCGCCGCTTACTGACATGTCCTTTCTTCCTCCATCCGCCAGTCGGGGCAGCCTGGCGCAGCGCGTGGCCACAGCCGCCGGGAAGACGGTCCGCTCCACCCCACACCGTGGCGGCGGCCGGCCCTGGGACAACCGCGCCGTCGCCGTCACTGATGAGGAGTTCCCGAGCCTGGGCGGCGGCCGCGCGGCGCCGCCCCCGTCCGCCGCCCCCGCCCCCGCCGCGCCGGCGTTCAGTGTCAGCGTACAGCGGCGGCCGGCCAAACCGGGCCGGGCCGCGCCGTCCCGCCCGGCGACCTCCGCAGAGGACTTCCCCAGTCTGGCGGCCCCGCAGCGGCCTGTCTCGGCGCCCGTGGCGGCTCCGGTGCGGTCCGCGCCGCCCAGAGCCGCCCCCGCCCCCGCCCCGGCCGCGGCGCCCTCGCTGAGTGTCAGTGTACAGCGTAAACAGGCGCCGGCTAAGGGCGGCGGCAAACAGCAGGGGCAGGGCCGCAGCACCAATGTGGCCATCGACTTCAAGCGTCGGCCGGCGTCGGCAGGCGTGGCGGCGGCGGTGGCGGCGGCCGCGGCGGCGGAGTACGACTTTGAGGAGCCCGAGGAGCCGGACGTGCCCAGGATATCGCAGGTGAGGATGTAGCTCATATTGTGGTGTGTCGATTTAGATTACGGTGACCCAGCTTCAGTTTTGTTTTTTATCTGGATCCGGATGATGAACATCTTTGTTTCCGGACTCACGAATGGATGTCTCAAATGCCGAATAGTGTCATGCCGACTCTAGTTGTTAACACGCGCACTGCAGCGGGTCTGAGCCGAACACGAACTGCAGGGGGGGTTGAAAACAACCCCCCCTGAGATCTCAAAAACGGCGCAACGTAGCGACAAGCGGTAAACGGCGTTGGATAGGTTGAGATGAGATCTACAAGAAATACTAAGATCATTTTTAGGTCAGGTCAAAAACGAGGTCACCAGAGGTCACCGAAGACAAAATGTTACGATTTTCACAACAGGAATTTCGCGGTAGTTTTTCTTGAATAACTTGTCTTGCACACAAGACAGAGGATCGATTCGAACGCCATCGTTCTTAGCTCGTCAAGGCGCATCGAATGATATATAATATGACCTCGAAAGGTCAAGTTGAAAATTGACCTCAGGTCAAGGTCATGACCTGACCGAAATAGGTCATGTTGCATATCATTCGATCCGCATTGACGAGAAAAACACGATAAACGTCGAACGGAGTCTCTATCTCTATTCAATCTCAAGTTATTGAAGAAAAACCGCTGGTGACCTCAGGTGACCTAAGATGACCTGGAGATCACCTTCCAAAGGTCATAAGTGATATGTTTCGGTGAAATCACCAACAGGGACCTGTAATACTATGATCCTGAGCGTATTGAAGTCATAGGATGGCATTCAGAGTAAGTTGAAATTTCTCCCATTGACTTATAATGTGCCGGTCGCAAAAATGACCTGACCTTAGGTCATCGATATAAAAATTCCGAGATATACAAGTTGTAGCTCGTGATGACTTTACTATTTCCTGTGGGTTTCAAGATCATATCTCAACAACTGTGGGCTTGGGATTGCAAACTTCGAAATTTACGTTTCGAGGTAGGGTCACTTGACCTGACCTGGTGACCTGACCATAGGTCACCTGGGGTCAAAATTTTTACTCAAGGTGTGCAAAAGTTGGGAGAACAGGTATGCAAAATTTGGCGGCGCTACGCGCCGCCGTTTTCTCGCGATTTGCGAAAAACCACAGGGGGGGGGGGTTGAAAACAACCCCCCCCCCTGCAGTGCGCGTGTTAAATCACAGTACTTACATAGTTTATCGCTCTAATTGTTCGTATTTGAGTGCTGAAGTTCTTCTGCCTATTGAGTTTCGTTCTTTTCGCTTACCACTATCGCCCCAATAAGTCCCAATAAACAGCTTACCACTATCGGTCAATCCTGCTCCCTCTCTGTCTATCCCCCCTCCATCGCCCATTCAGAACGCTATTCAACATCACTGACAAGCGGTATTCTCCCGACTCTCCATCCAGGTCTCCAACACGAGCAACATCACGATCCAGCGGCCGCCGGAGCCCGCGCCGCCCCGAGCGTCCGGCAGCCGGCCGCCGCCGCTCACCAAAGACGCGTTCCCCTCACTGGGGAGACCCGCCGCGGCCGCCAGTACCTCCTCCTGGGTCACTAAGAAGGCTGAGCCGGCGCCCAAACCGGCCCCGAAGCCGGCCGCTGCCGGCCCGCCGGCTCCGAGCGATTTCCCAACGCTGGGCCCTGTGGCGGCGCACGGGAACTTTGGGAGCTTCATGCCCGCTCGCGGGGCAGCGGGGTCGACTGGCTCGGCGTGGGGAGGCGCTGGTGAGACAAACACCGGCAAAAGCAAGAAGAAGAAGACTAAGCGCCCGGCCGGAGGCGAGAATGGCGTATCGGCCGCGACCGGGGCTCTGAACGGCCTGTCTCTGACGACTGCTGCGCCGGCGGCGGGGGCGGCGCGGGCTGCGGACGGGAAGTTCCAGTACCGAGAGCCGGAGAACTTTGCCGCCCGAAATAACCGGCTGGTTCACCAGGCACGCGAGCTGTTCCCCAGCGAACTCGAGTTCAGCGCCTTCAAAACGCTCTCGAGTGAGTATCCCGGTGCCACAGCTGTGGAATAATCAATGTTTTGATACGGGGAAGTGATTATACGCGCCCTATGATTTCGTGGAATTTCATCGGAGCATTGCAATTATGGCGATGCCCTGCTTTACATTTTTTTCAGCGCTTCTCACCCGCGACTTATGCAATTCCTGCAAAGCATATGTCGTAAATCAACAATCCCCTCAACATTTTCCCATTATTGCAGGCCAACCAAAGATGGGCCAGAACTACTTCGAGTCGTAAACATGCCAATACTTTTCACTTTCGATCCCCATAAGGCTCAGTATGATTAGAATCGCCTCATATTCCTCACTGAGTGTCCGTTGGCCCGCCTGCAGAGGCGTTCCGGGAGTCGGAGCTGTCGGCGGAGGACTACTACTCGGGCTGTATGAACCTGCTCGGTAACGACAAGTTCGGCAAGATGTTCCCCGAGCTGCTCGTGCTGCTGCCCAACATCGACAGACAGAGGGTAGGATTAGCGAGCGGACGCATTTAGCGTACTGACGCGCACGGTGCAGGCGTTTATATGCACATTGGATAGACATTCGATCCGTGGAATGTGTTTAACTTCGTAATGCTTGTATACTGATCAGGTGTTTTTACGTTGAGAGGTATAAAAATCGGTTCACATACACTAACAACGTCATATAACGCTTACATAAGCTACACCTTATGGGAATGTTAGATTGCTGTTATTTTGCTGTTCAATGCCCGTTCGGGCAGTTGTACACGAACACACTCCCGACCGCTAGTGTAGCAAGAAACGTCTGGATGGCCGTCCCCTTGGCCGGCCGACTCGCCTGCCTCCCACTTGCTGACCCTCCCCCTGCCATCCCTTAGGAGCTGCTGGCCGCACACGAGAAGCTCAACAAGAACGGGTTCCAGCGGAACAAGTTTCCGTCCTGTCCCACGTGCGGCCAGGTCCTCGTGTTCGACGATATGGCCCAGCACACATCGCAGCACTTCGAGGACGGCGACTTCCCCGTGCTGGACTAACCTGTCGCTGAGATCGTTCGTCTGCCCGTCCACCGTCCGCCGGTCGCCGTGCCTTGGTTGCTGTCGTAATGTCTGGAGGTTGGAGCTCGCGATCGTTAACTAGCCATGGAGTGAGCGATTAGTGTCAGAACTGTGATGGCTGCGCTGGCCAGTGTGCTGGTGTGTGGTGTTTTGAGTGGTGCTGACGATAGCAGAATGCGGGGTTTGGTGGGTGGCAATATGTCTGTGCCAAGACGATGGTGCGAGTCAGGGTGATTTTGGGCGATTGGGGAAAGTTATGTTTGCAATGTCAGCACTCAGCAGGTATCAGGTGCATGGGATTTCATCTTGTAAAGGTTATCCGCACACGCTATTGATTGGAATCGCGGTAGACCAGTTAAACCAGTCCGTTAACCTGATGGGGTGGGAGTGCTTTCTGCTGGCTTCCAGCCGGTAAACCACCAGCCCTAGACTCCGCGTCTAGTGCTGCCTGACAGTCTGCCTGTCACCGAGGCGGGGGCACTCCACTCGGGACCAGGTGATACCAGACCCAGTCATCTAAGGCCGATACTCTGTCGCTTTGCGCTCATGCTAGTTACGTTCGTGTTGCGGGGATGGCACCATGCCTGAGTTTTGTGAAACATCTGAACGAGACGACGCAGTTGCGATGATTTAGCTGATAAGATTCAAAGTATTAATCGGTTACGATTCCATCTGCTTGACTACTCGTACTCTCCTGATATAGTCGTTTTTAGTGATCTAGCTCCGCCTGCGCTGGTGTGTTGGTGTTGTGTTGGAGATACGGCTGGCCACCCGGCGGTGCGCGGCGGGGCCGGTGGGCGCTGGCCCTCCCGACTCCGACCGGCCGGCCTCGGCCCTGTTAGTGCCTTCTGTTGGCGGCGTACGCTGCGGCCCCGGACCGCGGGGACGGCCGACCGCCGCTGGGATGTGATCGTTGTGTTACGGATGAATTAGCGAACCAGGTGATGGAATGGTCTGTTTCACTGAATACAGAAACGTTTTCCAATGGTTACGGTTTTTTGTTGCTAAGTACTGACGCATGCCTGCAGACAGATTGAGATGACGCTTGTCGCTTGCTACAGGCATGCCTCGCAGTCGCGAATTACCGATTCGAGCTCGCGAACAATAATTTGGGAAAGAAGACACGGAGCAGACCGAGCAGACGGCCACATAGGTAGTTGTTGTTGTTGTTGTTCCTCCCGGGCGACCTCTAGGGTCGCCCGTCAGCCAGCGGCTCCAGATGGCGCCTGAAGCCGCGGGCCAAGGCCGCGACGACGTCGCCGTCGCGCAGCTGCGCAGGGTCCACGTGTATGTTGCCGAGCAACCGAAGGCGCAGTCCGGCGAGACTCGGGCATCGGAGCAGCACATGCTCCGGTGTGTCCGCCTCCTCCTTGCACACGATACATCGCGCCGCAGGGCAGTCCTTCTCGGGGCAGCCGGGGCACGAGTTCGTCGGGAGGCGGCCGATACGGTGGAGATACTGGCGGGCCATTCCCCAGTGACCGGCCCTCAGTTGGTGTACATCCACCGCCTCGCTCCTGCTCACGCCGGAGACCGGGCTCGGCATCCGGTCTCCCCAAATTCGCCGGAAGAAAGAATCCGGCCACGACTTGCGCCATGCCTCTGCAGCCGTCCTGGCCACGGCGCCCGTGATGGTGCGGACATCCGCTGGCGCCTCCTGCTGGAGGCCGGCTGCTTCTCTCGCCAGCTCGTCCGCCTTTTCATTGCCGGGGATACCGCAATGCGCTGGTACCCACTGCAGCATCACCTCTTGGCCTCTGGCGGAGATGCTGAGCAGCAGGGCCCAGATCGCCGCGCCATCGGGGTGGTCTGCGATCCCGCCCCTCCGGCCAGCATGGACAGCGCCGCCTGGGAGTCGGTACACAGGACCACGGGTCCCTCTGCCTCGGCACCTGATAGGTTGCTGACCTCCTCCAGCGCCGCTTTGATAGCGCACAATTCGGCGCGGGTGCTGGAGCACAGGCGTCCTGCGGCGACCCTGATCTCCCTGGCCTCCCCATTCCTGAGTATGAGGAGGGCGCCGCCGCCGCCATTCGTCGTGCCGCCCTCCGACGAGCCATCGCTCCAGATCCAGGTAGCGGCTTCTGGGAAGGTGGCGAGGTAGTTCTCGGCGGTCTGGCGGCGAATCGCGGCGGGGGCGTCCCGGCTAGCAGCCCCGCCAGGAGATACTGGCGGGCCATTCCCCAGTGACCGGCCCCGATGGACCCCGCCTTCAAGTGGTGGACGGTGTTGGGGCTTCGGCCTCACCGCGGCGTGGCGAACGCCGAGGAAAACCAAACGGGGTCCACCTGCCTCCCCGATGGCGGTCGCCGCGGGCCGACGCCCGCGCGCTACTGTCGCGCAGCTGCGCCATCTCAGCCCAGCGTCACCGGGCACCATCAACATAGGTAGTCGTTCACTACTGCGTGCGGCTTATGCTGTTGGACATTTTTCAGAAAGGGAATAGTTTCAGCCTTTTTTTGCCTGGGATGGCCTGAGTAGTGATATTTGCTGACTGACGAGAAGGACATAGCAAGTAGCGACCGTAGCAATAATAGTAGCTAGCAGTATGGCTGTGCTAGCTAGCAGTATAGCAACAATAGTGCTAGTAACTAACGTAACTTCAACTTGGTTGCGCCATCAAGTGCTGACGGTATATAGCGCATTGGTGCTAACACATAACGGCTGAATTGAGCTGAATTGGAGCATGGTACTGTCATGGATGAAGGAGAACCTGGATTGGAAACTAACAGCTGATTGCGTTCCCTTCGGTAAGTGCCCGAGGGCACGCGCGGCGGCAGCGGGAGCCGCGTCTGCCGCGCATTCATTGGCGCCGCGTAAGCGTTCACTGGCGCCGCGTAAGAGAATAACACTAGAAATGGCCCTCTTTTTCAAGGTCGCCTGTATTCGGCCCTCGTGTACGACTTTTGTGCGGTACGGAAAATTATAGTTTTGGTCTCATTCGATAGCCTGATCAATTTTGTCTGTCGTGAATAGCTTCTAAACCTAAAAATACATCCGCATTGCGGTCTAATACCCGTTTCAAAACATGACGCCCCGCGTCCCCCATAGGCCGTAATGCTTAACGGCGGGAGTTTCCAGTCCCGATACTTACCGAACGCTAGGTGGCAGGTCGATCGCCCGGAACGCTGCCCGTAATGTTGAAGGAATAGGAGTTTCCTATCCAGGTTCTTTCATCCATGGTACTGTGCTAATGTAACGTATAGTCAGCTAGGTGGCGCTAGTAGTGAGCAGTTTTGTGGGACATGCCTAAGAGCTGGACTTTTTGCACGCGTTCCCCGCCAGGGGGCGCCACTGAGGAAGCACCCTCTGACGTCACGATAAAACTGCGCGCACTGTGCGCACGGTTCTGTAAGCAAGTAATATCGTGGTGGTTTCATGGTGGAAATTGGAATAAGTATTTTGACGTTGTAAAATTTCAAGCCGTTTTTGTTGAATTAATTAGTAAATGCATTTCAAAAGTATTTATTTTAAGTGTGAAAGGAGAATTATTAGAAAAACATGCATATTTTTGTTCCAATAGCTTATTATGTGAGACATGATCGGTACTAACGGGTACTTCTAAGAAGTAGTGAAGAAGTACCAAACTGCCTGCTCGGCTACGATCGTCAGCTGTCCTTTGGAGCTGGACTTCAACGCTGTAAAAAAAATATGTGCTGAATTAATTTTCAGTTTCACCAAAATATAAGCAATTTATCATTTCCTTTTCACTTTTGTAATTTTTGTTGAGCGAAGAGACATGTTGCTAGTTCTGACAATATAAATTATTAATTAGAAAAAACGAAATGCGACGGTAAGTATCTGCTACTAAATTATCACCAAGGACAAATACATCGAGAATCTTGCTACTATTGCTTATAAAACGTGCTTATCAATACACAAATGTTTTATTTCAGACAAGAAGGATTTATTTGCCTGAAGTCTTGCGTCATGTGCTACTGCTTTGATTTCAAAGACGCTCTCCGGGTCGGGGTAATTTAGTTCTTCATCGATCGATAAGAGATTTTGATTCCATTGATATCCCAATTGATAAGCTCGGCACCATGGAGTAAGGGCGTCCCCACAGGGGTGATGCAGGAAATATGAATGGCGTTTACACCGACAGTAGTTTCCCACAGCCGGCAATGGGAATCTCCTGTCGGTGTAAACGCCACTATAGTCCCATCCAACTCAAACACTGGGGAATATCCCCGCACTTTTGAGGACGGAAATCTATGGACCTGCTCGAAAAATAGTGGATCAAATACGGCGAGCTTTCAGTTTTATGGTTGGGTCTCCCTTCCGAGGCACATATTTACGGGGGATATTGGGTCATATTCCCCCGGCGTCCTGATGATCGGCGGCCGGCGCCCAGCTCAGCGTCGAAGGCGCCCTGATACGCGGCACTGCTATCAGTGAAGGTGCCCAGGTTGCTGCCGCTCGAATTTTGGTCGCCTACTTAACAAAACCTCCGTTGGTGCCATCTCAGTTTCCTCGAGGTCAGGCAACCTTCACACGCCGTTGGCTACCTTGGCTGGCCGGCGACTCGTTCCCCTCGTGGCGACGCTCTTGACATCCAGTCAAAAGTTGGAGTGGCTGGCGCCCCCAGTGGGGGCCAAGGAAGGGGCAGTGGGCCTCCACGTTGCTCTCTTCCCGAGCCTATGGTGACTTGGCTCAACTCTCCTCAATACAATACAATACAATACAATTTTATTAGGTCCCTCCATTACATGGGTTTTGTGGTGACCACGTCGTATACATGCGAAAACACATCTGGATAAAACACTGCAGTAAAACCGGATAGAAGTGAAACCACAGAGTAAAAAGTACACATCTAAGACATCTTCCGGTACACTAACCAGTCGACCACACCTACTGTTGACGCGCTCCTGAGGACTCGTTCCAGTGCTGGCTGGCGCGAAACAAAAATCCACGACGGCCGAACTCGGTTTGGACCCGGGGCAGACGCAGCTGTCCCCGCTCGGTCGCACGCGTGGTGCGAGCTGACTCGTCGGAGCTGAGCACCAACTTGCTCCGCAGGATTTGTGGTGCACTGTCCGAATTAGTAGGCGACTAACCACAGCTACGTCACTGTCACGAATCAAATCGTCCACACACTTCCAACCCAGCTCGTTAAGCACAGGAGTCACGTGATCTCTTCGGCTGAGGCCAGACACGACACGTGCGCCGAAATCCAGCACCTTTTGGATGCGTTTCCTCTGAGCGATGCAGCAGGCACCCCATACGCTGATACAGTATTGATACAGTCAATAGAATCTGGATTCTGCACGCTGTATGCACATGGGCGTAGACACCACTACGGACAATACGGACAGTGGGTTTGACAATCAGTAGTGCCATTCATATAGAGGGTGTCATATATGAGCGGAGAGGCAACAGTACAGCTGAGCGGAGAGACAACATTAAAACAACAGTACAGCTGGCGTTGCATGGAGCTGCAGGCAACCGGACAGCGGAGGCTTGCGAAAAATAAACAATTCGTCACTTCAACGTATAAACAATAGTAAAAGCAACATAAACACATATTCTCATGGTCGAACCCATGCACTAGCGGCTCACGGCGGGCACAGGCACGCAGTGCGGTAGCGGTACCGGATCACACGTCATGGGCGTTGTCTCAGCATAGGTTGTTCGCAATCTAGTTGAAGCCTAAGAAGACGGCCAGTGGGGTCTCACTGCTGCTGAGGCGACCTCGGAGACGATGCGTCGCCCCTCCTGTCGGCAACCTGCGGTGAGCAGGACTCCAGATAGCTGTCTGGCACGTTGCCGACACTGCCAGACGCTGTCAGCAGGCCTCACTGCTGCAAGTGATGTGCAGATGGACGCCAGGTGACTTCGTCTGCAGGCGATTCCGGAGACCGCGGCCTCACCAGGCAGCACCACCTGCATCGCCATGTCGGTGTTTCTAGAAATGGAAAAATAACAGTATCGGTGAAGGACAAGCAATACAATGTATTCTGTTTTCCTCTCTTGCAGGTATACGTAATCTACAATTATCATTGTTCCTATTTCATTCAACTGAACCTGAAAATTCCATATTGGCACATTGTTTGACTAAATTTGTGTAGTTGGGAACAGGGGCGACGCCACGATGCGACGACTGGAGGGGACATTGACCATTTTGGAGGGGACGAGGACCATTTCAAGTCGATTCTTTCCATGCAACGCCATAGGCGTAATGTTAAAATTTTAAAAAGTGGAGGGGACGAGATCCCCTCCGTCCCCCCCCCCCCTGTGGCGACACCCTTGGTTGGGAAGCAGATTGTTTGAAATACATGTTTGGCTGAACAGTGCGGAAAATATTTCATTGATCACTACAGCTGCAACAAAAATACTGAGACAGAAAACAATTGCGCTTACCTGGCTCCTTAGTCAGTCCCGCACAACGGAAGTGGTACCATTAATCGCAGCCGTCGCAGCCGACCATCGGTGCTGCTGCACTCCCCACATTCCCAGTACCTTAGGAGCGTCTTGGCTGTGAAAAGATTACATGAGTCATGGCGCATACATGAATAGTAAGATGTTTTATATGTTTAACATCGCATAGCAAAGACACAACAGCTGGGAGTCAAGTGTAAGCAAGACTGTATCAAAACTTAACATCATTCCATTATTGCTCAAAACGCAAGAAGTTAACATCGTTATTTTGTCTCTCAAATTCTCTTGTTAAACGTCAAATTGTCTTATTAATGACCATGATGCGTGTTGTAGAGTAGTGATGTCAATTTCAGAAATTTTGGAAACCAATACCAAACCAATACCGACCAAAACCACTGAGATTATACCAAAACCGAACCGATTTTCAGAAATAGGGGGAAATACCGACTAGATACCGAAATCAGGGAATTATCAAACAAATGCTTCAAACTTTCTCAAGACATATGATAAGCCTTGAAAGGTACCTAATACTTTGAAATAAGGTAACAAAAACAAATCAGGCAATCTGTTAATTATTTGCATTGCAAAAAAAAAACATTTATAACTTATTTTGTAACTATTAACAAATATTCAGGTCAGTTATTTTACTGGAATGTGGATTCAAGTCAACTGCATGAGGTGTTAGGAAAATAACTTGAACCCTGAATCTTGTCCGTGCCTGAACCATCAAACCTTCTTTCAATTCAAGTCATTCATTTCGAGTCCGGTCAAGACAGGGTTTAGTGTGTTATCATGATCCAAAAGTGGTAACCCAATTGACAATGATGGGCTACACCTTGGGCTTGCTACACCATTAATGTAAACAAAGCCCATGATACCTAGTCCTACAGTTAAACCCAAGTAGCATGGTGATTGGTGACGATACTGACGCAACCAATTTTTCTTCATAAACAAATGTGTAACACAACAAAACTTGATAAATAATTACTTACGAGGCACACTGATAGATAGCAGACACCACTGTAATGATATCGCGATGAAATCTAAGTAAAATGTCCATAATTTTACGGAAGCATTGACACACGTCACGTGTCATCTCTTCCATAATGGCGGCCTTACAGGCGGCGGCCATTTGCATTTGATTAAACTGTATAAAATAAAGTTTTTCTTTTCTTTTTTGCTTAAGTCCACTTAAATCAAAATTCCTTGTATAGATTTTGACATCTTAAAATTAATTCAAGAAAGTTGTAGGCCACTTTTGCTGAAAAATGAAGTACCAGAAAAGCATAGTTGTTCAATTATTTTCAATTAATAATTGAGCTATATCGGTTCCTCAACCTGGCGCAGCTGCGACATTGAAATGTTTTTAGATGTGTTCAGTTTTGAAACTGCTGTGTGCGAGTCAAGCCAAAAGCCAATTATATTTCATAAGTGTTAATGATAAAATTGCTAGCGATCTGTATCTGTTGAGAGAGCAGGAAAGAGAACACTAATTGAAGAAAATAAATTATCCACAGGATCATGACAGCATCGCTCACTACAAGGCTTTTTGAAGTTGAGCGAAGTTGAAGATTTGTGGGCTGGGCCCTGTTTCACCGGTGATAGCAGCAAGCTACTATCAAATTGCGCGAGCTGACGTAATGTGATGACGTCATACTGCTGACGTAAGGGGCAATTCTGGCGCACGATTGCCGCAATATTGTTTTACGTCATCAGCTAAATGTTCGAAGTTAATGTCAAAATTTTTCCTAAACCCAACTTCTTTTAAATACATCATATTGAAAAAATATATATCAAAAATATATATACTATCATGACTGCGTAAACTCTTACTTTTAGGCTCATACGTCACTTAATGCCGCCGCCAAGGTCGCGGCAATCGTGCGCCGGAACTACCCATTACGACAACAGTATGGCGTCACGACATGACGTCAGCTCGCGAAACGTGATAGCAGCTTGCTGCTATCACCGGTGAAACGCCCTGATGGGGGTGATGATGAAGTGACAAATGCTGCCTTAAATATTAGATGATAATGGTGAAGCTAGTGCTGTATTAAACAGGGTTTTGGATAATGTAATTGCATTGCAGTAAAATGGAGAGGAAGACAAGGTCAAGATCAATCACAGACTCCTCAAAACAAAGTCAAATTTGTTGCTAATAAATGCTTTGGAAATTTTGAGAAAGGTAGTTTAAGTATGTTTTCCAGCATACAGTGAGTTAAACATTAATTCATGTTTATGTCTTGCACATTGGCTTTCTTTGTAGGATAATTATCCTCATGGTATTGGAATTTGCTAACACTGATTAGTTGCCATTTAACATTGGTAGACTGATGTACCTATTTGATATTACAGTTGTCAGTTGATGTGTTTGCCCATTTGTTAGGATATCATGCATTTGGGAGAAATGTGTCATGATTGCCATTTTTCTTCATCCAGTGTCATTTAGCAAAATCAAATTTGAGTTCAGAAGGTTTATCAAAAATGCTTTCAAATATTTTATGACAGTAGTTGATTTTCATGATACCGACAAAATACCAAATGCTTTTGGTATATAATACCGAATACCGAATCGGTATTGGTTCGGTATCGGTATACCGAAATTTTGGTAACCGATTGACCTTACCTTACCTTACCTTACCTTGAAGGTCATCGGGATAGAAAAGGCCACTTGGCCTATAGGTCCCGTTCTCACCGAGTTACTTGCAGAGACATTCAGGACTCGTAAGGTTGTGGCATGACATACATTAGGTGGGTCCAGTGATGGTCGAGTCGTGCCTTGAATGTCGAGAGTGTTTCGGCTGATACGACCTCAGCAGGTAGAGCGTTCCAGTCGTTGATGATGCGGACGCTAAAGCTGCTTCGTCGGGCGAGAGTCACAGCTCGGGGTTTGAGCAGCTTCCACCCGTGTCCTCTCGTCAGCTCGGTCTCGTTTTTGGTGAAGAAGGTCGTTGCCGGCACATCGATTCCACCGTGGAACAGCTGGTAGACCGTCAGCATGTCACCCCTGCGGCGGCGGTAGAACAACGACGGCAGTCGGAGACGCTCCAGACGCTCGGGGTAGGGAAGGTGCTTGATGGATTCCACCATACGCGTGGCGCGTCTCTGGACCTTTTCTAAGCGTTTCTGGTCTCCTTTGCTGAACGGTCCCCAGACGGCGTTCCCAAACTCCAGAAAGGGGCGGACGAGAGCCTTGTAGAGCAAGGGTAGGGTCGTCTCATCGATGTGAGCGAAGGATCGCTTGATGACCGCGAGCAGCTGTGAGGCTTTTGAAACGGCCGCGGCCGTTTGCGTATGAAACTTCAGCTCAGAGTCGATTATGATCCCCAGATCCCTTTCTTCGTCTACCACAGCGATGGGCGTCCCGTTCAGCCTATATTCGTGTGCAGGGTTTCTTGAGCCCATGTGCATCACCTTACACTTTCCTGCGTTGAACGGCAGCAGCCACCTTGAGGACCATCGTGCCAGAGCGTCCAGATCACCCTGCAGGCCAGCACCACGATCGGATGGATTTGTCAGTGGCTTGTATAGCTTCGTGTCATCCGCGAACATCTTCATATTGCTTGAGACCTCTAGTGGCATGTCGTTGACGTATATTGTGAACAGCGTCGGCCCCAATACTGAACCTTGGGGGATACCGCTGGAGACAGGTGCCCACTCCGAGTTGCAGCCCTGAATCAGCACCCGTTGACGACGGCCAACGGGTGCTGACACCACTATTGTAGAGTGTAATATGACATGTAACAAATGGCAATAATAATTATTGTTTTCATCAATATAGCCAGGCAATAAGAATTGCAATAAATCACTTGTTCATCGAATACCCCGCAAACTAGTTTTACCACAAACTTCGGGTCATTATGTGCAACAAGCCGCCCAATCAACCATTCGGACTATATTAAAATTAAAAAAATCCATCACTTTGTAGCTACACGACACGACCATCACGCGTCTTGACCGAAACATGTGGACACATGTAAAAAGCATGTGGTCCTTATATTGTATATATGATGAATATGTTAATAATGCAGAGAAAACACAGTATAAATTATACCCAACCTTTCATCTTAATCGACTTTGTCAAGGGTGTTTGAACAGCTTGAGATGAGTGTAGTGTAAGGGTACCTAGGTTACAGGTACATCTGAAAATAAACTGAATCTGCGTTCAATAAACATTGATTTTGATAATACATTTCACAAATCAACTGCTAATAACAATCATACTAAAATAGCACGACAGATAACTAACAATCGCATGAAGAACTTCTTGATTCGCCTTGACATTGTCGTCCGAACGAATGTTGTCTGAAGTTACACCTTTGTCTTTTCTGCGCAGCATTTGTGTTTGCCATTTACCGCACCAATGTTCGCCAGCGGTGGTGACTTTTCCTTACCTGCTCACGAAACGTCACACACGACATGACGTCACCCGAAGACGTCATCAAAAAGTCCAGCTCTTAGGCGTGTCCGTTTTGTGCCTGGTGTGTTGTGGAATCAAGCTAGCTTGTGCTAATCTCTTGTATGACATGTAAATGTACAAGATATTGATATGTGCTCTCTGCTCAGCGTTACAATGAGGTTGCATTTGAGGATACTGATACATTCCATTTAGACCCACTGATGCCTATCTGCAATGTGTATACCATGTGTAATCCATTCATAAATTTCAGGCATGTCAAGGTTGTTAAAATGATAATTTTTGGCATTCTATTTATTTTTGCAGTTTTCTGGCGAGTTTAACCAATGCCCTCTATTCCAGAGCTATATTGTCACACAAGAAACATATTGTGGGGAATATTTTGTTACCCAGCAGCCTGTCGTCAGCAATGTCATCCAAAAGGCAAGCTGCAAAAACAGCTGATGGTTCTATTGCAACTCAAGCAGAAAATCCAGAGAAGCATGCATCGACTGCTTCAAAACTGAGAAAGCTGGTAGATGGTAGGTATCTTTTACATCATGTCCTGCATCCTATCAATTTAGTGTCTGAAGTGTCAAGCAGGCATGCCATTTGAAATTGAGCTGTGCTACCAATCTCACGATGGGTTACCAAAGGCAATGTTATGATTGCTGCAGGGCAGAGTAGATTGAAATCAAATGGGGAAACCATGCCTATTGCAATAACATACCGAAGCAATGAACATCCGTTCCTTCCAGGGATGCGGAGCCGGAGCCGGAGTCGGAGCCGGAGCCGCCGGAGCCGGCATATTTTGCCCGGAGCCGGAGCCGGAGCCGGAGCCATGAAACAATATAGCCCGGAGCCGGAGCCGGAGCCGGAGCCGCCAAAAAAGGGGGCGACTCCGGCTCCTTTTTATTTTTTGAAGAGGAAAAAAATAATTGACCTAGTTCGGTTTGACAGTACAAGGCAGTAAAACATATCGTACTATTGGTCTCAATATAAGTGCCCAGGCGACCTGTAGTTTTGATGCGGTGAATACCCTCACCCTCGCCACAATGCGAGTGGGGGTGGCGCTGGCTGGGAGGAGGGGTGCACTCGGCCCGAGTTGTGGCGAGGGTAAGGGTATTCACCGCATCAAAACTACAGGTCGCCTGGGCCCTTATCTTGAGACCAATAGTACGTCATGGGCCATCAAGTGAATGAAAAAGCCGAATATCCCCAGTATCCCACAGTACGCAATCAACTTCCTGTCTGCTCCTCCCCCCCTCACGTCTACTGCATCCCCAGAACATGAGGACCGGTCATCAGGTGACGGCCATTGTTTTGAAGCCAGTGCAGTGGACTGCGACTCCCAGCACCATCTCTTTCCCCCCCCCACCCCACCCCCCCCCCCCCAATGCAGCCGAGATGGGTGTCAGCTTACGATGGTTCAGTGAACTCCGATTCGCGGCGACTGCGTTTCCAATGCCATCGCTTCCTAGTCCTTTGTTCTGCCAGTTCTCTCCGAGGTGCGTTTGCGCGGGGACGCGGTGAGCCGGTCATGGCAAGAGTAGGCAACGCGTATAACCAATCCAATTTTTCTTCCACCGTACCCGTATTTAATTGATTGCATAGGGGATGTACTGAGTCGGAGCCGGAGCCGCCGGAGCCGGAGCCGCCGGAGCCGGACCATTTTACTCGGAGCCGGAGCCGGAGCCGGAGCCGCCATAACATTTCACCCGGAGCCGGAGCCGGAGCCGGAGCCGATTTTTTTCTCCGGAGCCGGAGCCGGAGCCGGAGCCGTTTGAAATTTCCACGGCTCCGCATCCCTTTCCTTCACAGATTCCAAAGTGGTGGACATTGAAGACTGCTGGAGTCCACCACAGTGGGAAGGAGTGCTGGAGAACATCCGCTCCATGAGAGCTGCCCGTGATGCTCCGGTGGACAGCATGGGAGCTGAGGTGTTCATGAACGACCCTGGTGCCACTGACTCCAAGGTAGGGCAGAGCTGTCTCAGGTCTCACTCTGAGATAGGGGAGGCCTCAGGCCAGGCAGGGACACAGCTCTCTAGCTATGCCATGATGCCCAACTGCTAGAAGCCCATGCTGTGTGCCCATTCAGTCTGCAAAATGCTGTATTCTTGCTCTATGATTCAGTATTTTCATCTGAGCATGAGTCGTTGTTGTAGTGGCATGCATATGCCTCCACCTGCCATACCTATGCCTGAGCTTTTAACGCCGATGGGCGATGACCACTGTAGTCCGCCCCCCCCCCCCAATGAGCTTTTAAGCATTCCTCTCGATTTAGGGTGTGTTTGTTCATTGTTGCATAGCGGATGACTAGGATTTTACGTTGTCCGGCCAGTCCCGTTTGAGAGCCGCCGCCCAGTCCCCGCCGACCTCGAACGGCATTGACCGGACGACGTAGACTCTACGATCCGGTCATAGCTCTTCGTCATCCGGGAGACATCGAATCCGGCCTTAGTCTGCACTCCTCCCTAACGCATTGTCCCCCTCCCCTCAGGCAGGTCGTCTGCACGTGCTGGTCTCGTTGATGCTGTCTAGTCAGACTCGGGACGAGGTGAACCACGCCGCCATGACGCGGCTCCGACAGGCGGGTCTGAGCGTGCAGTGGCTGCGGACGGTACCGGAATCGGAACTGGCTGAGCTGATCAAACCGGTCGGGTTCTGGAGGGTAAGCATGAGACGTCACCATCGGAGAGGGTCGGGGTTTGACAGCTTCTGGAAACTAAGTAGGGGAAAGTGAGTGAAGTGACTGTCTATGGAGTATTTTGTTGCAAAGCGAATATGTGTGTGAATTTAATGCCGTTAATTTAAGTGAATTTAACGCCGATGACTTTAAGATCGACCTACTGGTGTCACCGCTAACGCTATTTTATCGTGTTTTCGCCTTATGTTACTGACTTGCCATCTCGGTCAGTCCTGTGGTACCACTCTTTCGCTGACTCCAATTCTCACCGTTCCAACCACAGCGGAAGGCGCAGTACCTGAAGGCGGCGGCCGCCCTGCTGGAGACTGAGTTCGGTGGCGACATCCCCGGCTCGGTGGGCGACCTATGCCGACTGCCCGGCGTCGGACCCAAGATGGCCCACCTGACCATGAACATCGCCTGGAGACAGGTCTCCGGCATCGGTGGGTAGCGGTGGATGTGGAGATGATGCTGTGGTATTGTAGGTGGTGTGTGAAGTGGTGACTCAGATGGCTGAGGTGGTTGTAGCAGTTGGGGTAGCTGGCTCTGTAGATTCTAGCGTTGACAGTGATGGGCAGGTGGATGGCAATCGCAGGCGTTCTTTCTTCCTCTTGCTTTGTCGGGCGTTCACCAGGCTGTGGTAACTCGAGGACAGGAGATTAAGTTTTGACGATACAATAGCTCTTTTCATGTAGCATGTAAATAAACAAAGCAACACCGCTGGGCGAAATAGGCTTGAGTCTCGTTAAACGTGGTTTCACCCTATGTCTGTTATTGTGCGGGCGATCCCTGTCCGTTGACTTGACGTCTTTCGCTGCGTTCATCGTGTACGACCTCGAACTGCGCTCATCCTGAGACTGCCATTCCGTCGTTTCCCCAGGCGTGGACACCCACGTACACCGTATCGCCAACCGGCTGGGCTGGGTGCAGAAACCCACCGGCACCCCGGAGCTGACGCGACAGGCGCTGGAGGCGTGGCTGCCGCGACAACACTGGACAGAGGTGAGAACGCTTAGAGATAGAGAGGCGAGCGCCAGAGCATAGAGCGCTCGATCGGCGACGCTGGCTCTTGAAAGGTAGAGGCTGCTGGCAAAGACGATTGAGCCAGCGTTGGAAATGAGGCATGAGTTGTGCTACTTATTCCAATATTACACACTAAGTGGTACGCTATCGGCATTGCTGTTCTGGTTACCATGGTTGCAGCGTTATGACAGATCGTTCTTTTCTCCGGCAGATCAACCTGCTCCTGGTGGGTCTGGGGCAGCAGCTCTGTACGCCGGTGGCGCCGCGCTGTGGCGACTGTCTGAACCGCAACTTGTGTCCGTCCGCCGCCGCACCCTCCCCGACCAAGAAGAAGCCGCGGCGCAGGTAATGTTACGATGGGGACTGAGCCTGTTACGTCATCAATAGGCGGGTGTGACGTCAGTTGTGATCGCTGTGAGGGAAAGATATCGTGTTTATGAAGCCGCTATGACCCCTGTTTCACCGGTGATAGCAGCACGCTGGCCGCTGCTATCAGCTATCACACGTGTCAAATTGGGTTTCCATGGAAACATCGTCACCATGACGCCGTCACTCTGTGTGATGTCATCAAATATGGCTACTAACATCTTCACGGCCGTGCGATCAAACAAATGCTATCAAACGCATTCAACAAGTCAGCAACTCTGTTCCAAACGCAGCTCACGGATTACACGAAACGTCATTAGTGTGACGTCATCACATTACGTCAGCTCGCGCAATTTGATAGTAGCGTGCTGCTATCACCGGTGAAACAGGGCCCAGATCCCTGACGTCTGCTGGCCTTTGTAGTTAATGTGAGTCATTTGTTCGCTGCATTCCTCAGTGCTGCCTCATTTACATAGAGCATGGACCGCAGGAGCTCAATCCTGCCTCATTGGAGTCATGGTTTTTGGTCAGTCGACCTAGTTATGGTACGTTTCCAGGCAAAGATACATGAGTGCCATCACTTGTATTTTGAATAATTCCAGGATTTGTATATGTTTTCATTGTTACAGCGCCAAGCACCAAGGAAAGTGTTGTGGCTAAACGCACTCTTGGTTCAAGTACAAATGCTCGTTTTTGCAGTATTGAGTCTACAGTGTCTAGGTCAGGGCTTGTGATAGTTTTGATGACTGTTTTTGTACATTTTCACCGTAGTACGTGCCATTTGGCATTTACTTCTGCATGGAACGGCCCGGAATATATGATTGTTTTTTTAGACTTTTCGGTGTTCACCGTTCATAGGCAACAGACTAAGCAGCCCTACAGACGAACAACACTCAGCTACATTCTAGTTCTGGCTTGCTTTAGTGTCAGTTCTAGGGTAGTGCGTGGATCCAGCATCTGAGTGTACATTGAAACGCTGTTTTTTCTGACGAGGAACCATCCATAGCTGTCTCCTTTTTAACTGATGTTTCCAACTTGCTTTAAGTCCCCAGGCAGGTACAGCCCTCAGCAAACTGCGTGGTAAGTATTCTTTTTTTCGACAACACCGGTAATAACTCAAAAACTATGTTATCAGTCGATCGGAACTCACTGTAAATAGAGGCGCCATGCACTCCTTCGATTGGGCCTATTACTAAACAAAGTATATGCCTTGTGTGGCAACAAAATGCAAAAGTTTGTTCTGGGGCAAATATAAACTTTTGGATTTTGTTGCCAAACTGGATGGAAAATGAATACGATGGTAATGCCAATCTAAGGTGCGGAGTCTTGCGCGTCTTGCTGTTACGATTTCCGAATGATCGATAGCATAGTATCCACGTTATTCTCGGTTTTGTCGAAAAAAAGAAAGAATACCTACCACGCAGTTTGCAGAGGGCTGTACAGTGGGTCTATTTAAGATCTCCAGAGCCACCACGTGGCGCTACGGTCGGGGTAGGGCGGGTCCAAATCCCGAGGGGAGCGAGGTCACCGGTCACTGTGGGGGAAGGAGGGAGGGGGAGTGACGCGCTGCTATCGCGGCGTGGAGTGTGCGTAGTGCCGGGAGTGGGCCGCCCGCCACTGCGCCGCGGCTGAGGGGAGGGGATGCTGGTTGCGGGTGCGCTCACTCAGGTATGCTCATGAAGCTCACGAAGGTATCCTGTTCATGTGAAGCCAGCAAGAATGCGACTGAAGGGAATAGTTATCTCAAACAAACGGGCAAGCGAGAGGCAACGCCTTAAACTTGCAGCAAAACTTTTAACCAATTATAATTGAAATCTTGGGCCTATTATTTCAGCTGATATTTGCATGATGTCTTCGGCTTTTCATAAATTGTTATTCAAAAGCATAATTTCTTTCATTCCTTGGCACGCTCAGCCTTGATGGGTTTTTATCGGGTCGAAAAGAATCACGAGTTGAAATGGGTCCAGAGAAACGACCAAAGAATTTTATGAAACTCAGCAAAACATTTATATAAATAGGTATAGAGGTGCGACAATTTTGACTTTGTTAGGAGGATATTTGGGAAAGATAAATCAGCGTGCTTGTCAGTGTTGCAGTAGAAACTAGAAAGACAGGTTTTGGTTAGTGTCTAGATAAAGCGAGAGCCGGTTGGGGCTCGAACCCACGACATCGCACTCGGCACACAGATCACCCAGCCCCAACAATACGAGCGCCTGTCACCCTGCGCCTCTGTGCAGCTTGCTGGACAGTGTTTCGGCCAAAGTTGTTGTTTGGATGTCTGACGTCTGTCAATGTCACGAGGCTAAGCCCGAAGGTAAATGAGGGAGCCGAACCAGGTTGAACCGGGTTGAACCAGGCTGGACCGGGGTCTTACACCTAATTATGGTCATACAAAACAGAAGTTAGTTTCGGGTCATATATTTTTATGAACTTTTTTATTGTTTTTAACTAATTTTAGCTTATAGTTTTTTTTCCTAATTCGAAACCTTATACACAAAAATGCGATACTCGTCCACTTTTCCTCATCCTCTTTTAGCGACTAAATTTGACCTTGGTCCGATGTGACTCGTCTTATACAAAAAAAAAATCGCCGGCCATGACAATTATTCGCCCAGAGGCGCTCTACCCAAGAAACACCAGCCAGTCCAAAACTGGCGAATGATCTTTCTGGTGCTGGAATTTTGTCAATGAAAATTTCAGGATATATTAATAATCTTAATCCCTTGAGCTACTGGGCGCTCGGAGCATTCGCTAGCATTCCACTGCCAGCTGCATTGCCAACATCACGATCATTACCAACAATAATACCTACCACAGCATCGTGCATTATCAACATCACATATGCAATACTTTGAGTGCGTCATAGGTGACAATAGATGAGCCGGCCACCGCAAACCCATACCTTTATCCTTTCCTTCAAAGCAGCCAGGCTACCGGCCGCCAGGCTACCGGCCGTCAGGCCCGCCACCGCGATATGGAACAACGGGCCGGCTGGAATGCGCCATTTGCCTGCGGCAGCGCCCAGCTGCGCCGGGGCTATTTGACAGGTCACCGGCACCGTGACCTCGCCCCTCCCCACCTCCCCATCGGACTCAGCTCGGTACTGACCTCCCCTTGAATTTGACATGGACTCGACTAAGGCTCAACGCCATCTAGTTACGTCTGGAGATCCTTACTAGATCCACTGTACACACGACACCAGCTCAGTACCTCATCACCGTTCCTCTTATAATCACACAGATACTGTCACAGATAACAGTAGTACAGTAGTACAGTAGTACTACTGTTATCTGTGTCCACACCATACGCTGTGCCACTCCAGCCGTGTGTATTGCTTCCGTTGAGAGCGAAGCTGCTGTATCACTGCCAAAGGACGGACGGTTCCACAATGATAGCCGACGTGCTCTCGCCATAAGCGCCTCCAAGAGAACCAAGCCGGCGCCAGAGGGCGAACGGTGATCGCCGTCAGAGCCCACTGGCGGCGCGGTTTGTGACTAGAGTTAAATCACAACGATAGTGAACGAGAAACATAACTTCACACGTGACTAGCCCAGCTATGACTGAATATCACAAGAGTGCACATATTCAGTGATAACGGAAATGAGATCAGAACACAGCTATAGAGAGCGTCAATTAAACATTGTGACTAGATTAACGATATAACAACGACACCTGTGTTGGTAAACAGCCAATGGGACGGTTGTGCAATATGAAGGCAGGCGACCGGGACTCTTCACATCGACCGGGCGCTGCAAATACACGGCGACACTTCTTCCGTCTCACGTGACACGTGACAGAACGCCGTGAACACAGCTTCAAAGGCCGGTCTGTCGCACTTCGTAGACCGAATAAATTGAGATCGTTGGACGCGTGTGCAATCACCAGTAACCGCGGCACCACTGAGTAACCACACAAAGATCACCAGCGAGATCAAAAATACGTCGGGGACGGAACGATGGACGGAATCGTTAGTGATGGTTAATCTGAACGCTCTGTTGCGCTAAATATATCAAGAGACTATTGTCGTCTTGAGATCAATGCAATCAGTTACAAGCCAAACCGACTCCCATCTTTACTGACCAGCCGGACGGCGGTAGCTCTACTCGTTATCCGATAGCTCCATGTTGGCGTCGAATCCCCCTCGCAGGTTGCCGCGGGACTGGCGGTTGATCTGTACACCGACGGCCTGACTGATGGCCAGGAGCACTGGCTCGCTGATGTGGTGACCGATCTGAGAGGGAGAGACAGAAGACAGTCAGCCAGATGTGAAGGGGGGGGGGATAATGTACAAAAGGTGGGGTATGAAGAGACTGTAAGAAGATTCTATTGATTCTAGAGGGAGATCAAATAGAAGGGTATGCTTTCACACAGTTGGAATCAACCAGGAAAGGTCAAAGGAACGGAGGAGAGACGAAGCTCAGAAAACAAAAATGGATGCGAGGGCAGTGTTTGGGGGTGCTGGAACAAATAAAGAGCACGGGTGATCAGCTTGTTACGCATACGTCAATCGGTTGTTTTAGATACAGGTTCGTACCTTGCGCTCAATACTAAGCCCACGCAGACACACTTGACCTACCTTGACAAAATCAACGGCTACAAGTTTGCCCCATTCCAACACAGACACCAGCCACAGGACAACAGTCTACACAATTAACGACTACAAATTTGCCCCATTCCAACACAGACACCAGCCCACAGGACAAGTTACACAGCTGCACATGTCAGTCGTTGTCACCGCCCACCAAACACCCACTAACCTGAGCGCCGGGGCATCTCTGTTTCATCTGTTCTATGGCCTTGTAGGCCATCTCGTACTTCTGCGACCGGGCTAGGTACTCCACAATAAGAGCGTAAAGATCGGCACGCCGCACCGCCTCGTCATTACGCAGCTCGTTGGCAAAGTCGCGCGCCGCCAGCATTGCCTCGTCGGGGCTGACCTGGAACTGGCTGCAGGGGGAGAGCGGGGGGGGGGGGTCAGGAGAGACCTAGAACTGTGTGAGGCGTAAAGGTGGAGGGTCAGGAGTCAGAGGTATTCTATAATGACTGAAAGAGAGGTGAGGGGTGCCCAAAAGGACAATATCGGATGCAGGTACATGATCCATGGCGTATACATGCGTGAAGACACGCGATCATTTACAGTTAATTGGCGTCCAGACTAGCACTCATCTACGCAAGCATTCACAGCAATCACAAACTTCATCTGATTAATGGGATAACCCAACCTGCACTACATATCCGCGATCAGCCCTTCCAAGAGTGAACATCCCCCTCTACCACCCCCGCACCCCCGACCGACCGAACCACGCGCCCACCTGCGTATCTGCACAAACTTCTTCACGAGCTCGATTTTCTCCCGGAGATTGGAGACGCGACCGTCCAGTTCTGCAGTGTTGCCCTGCTGCGCCTTACTGAAACTGCGGTACGCCTCTGAGAGCGCGCTTAGCGCCTTATCGTAGTCCTTGTATTCGTCTATTTCGGCCTGTGGGCGGTGGGAGGGGTGGGAGGTTAATACCAGCAGCAGCAGTGCTGGGTGATACAGGGAGGCAGTAACACATAAAGAGTAGCATTTGCAACAAACTGGTGACACAGACACGCATGATGGCTGAGTCCGGGGGATGGAGTCCTGAGTGTCACCAACGTTGTCAACACCATATTACCTCAGAGTAGATTGGTGCCACTGAGAGTTTAAACAGCAGATGATGTTTCTCATTTGTTGTCTATTAGGACTTTAGGGCGCGTCGGCTGCGGTGGACATTTTGCGCCCATAACGCTGTACTGGTAAAACGGGTATGTCAACAGAGAACTGACGAACTAAAAAAGGCTAGAACTAAATTTCAGTATCATCAGGACCATCGCAGTCACATTTAATACATATTACACACTCTCAGAGGTTTCACTTGAAGTCCCCGTCCTTAAGTCCTCACCTGCTCACATTCGCGTGTCTCACCTTTCTCACGCTCTCACCTGAGCGCATGCGTCGTAGAACCCTGCCAGCAGGTCGTGCGCCTTGGCTTTTGTGTAGAAGGTGGTGATAGATTTCATGATCTCGGGACTCTTCTGCCACTCGGTCGACTGTTAGCCGCGCAGACACACATACAGACGGACACAAAAGACATGTTAGTAAGTCGAGTGAAAGTACATATTTGCGACAGGAGAAATGACGATGGATTTGCCCTGCTCCGCTCATAGGTTTCAACCTAAAAATTACCTGTTCTTTATTTTAAAACCATATTTATGAATCAGCAATGACATCACATAAAAACCGAAAGAAAATATTATTCGGAAACAAACTGGTCTCAAACAGTGCATGATGGCTCCCTCCAATCCTCCAATTTCCAGTCACTGTATGAAGTACACTCCACGTCCTCCTAACTTTATGGACAAAGTCATCCAGTCACGATCAAGCAGTGCTGCCATCTATCGGACCCACCTGCAGGTAGTTGGCGGCCATGATGTAAATGTCCCGTTCACGGGAGGTCTGCGCAAAGTACATGATCCGCTTGGTGTCTCCAGACTTCATCAGCGACTTCATGGCGTTCACCTGTTGAAGGAAGAGCGAAGGGTGAGTGGGAGTGAGAAGTGAGAGAACAAAAACGCAAACAAGTCCTTACATACACCCTGGAAGCACACTCCAGAAGCACTGTGAACATGAAGGTCATGTTGAGTAAAAAAAAAGAAGAAGAAGAAAAATTCAATAACATATTCACTATCATACAACATTCATCTTCCGCTCTGAAACAGAAGTATGTATTTGGATAAAATATCGCACCAATTAAACAAAAGTGTAAAGGCCGCCGTCCACTGTGCGGAACGCGTGCGGTCCGTACGGAATTTAACACAGAACCCTATGGGCGCATCCGGTCCGTACGGAAATCGTGTGCGCTCCGTCCGGACCGCATCCGAACGTCAATCAGCTGTTGATTTTCCGTCAGCTCTCCGCATGCGTTTCGGATGCGGTTGCTACGGAGACGGAAGAGTGATGTCCGACGCGTTGAACTTTCCTGCGGAAAACGCATCCGGAACGTCCGGAACAGACGTGGTTTGGGGCCGTATCGGAGGCAAACATTGTGAATTGTACGAAGAATTGGAACTCGATCATCATGAAGTAAGTAGAAATTATTTCCTTAGAATGGCAAGAGTATTCGCTGCTGGTTACTTGCAATATTTTATTTGGTAATAAGTGATAGGAAACATTTATCAGCTCTCCGCATCCGGACCGCATCCGGACCGGATGCGGCGATATTCCGGACGGACTCCGGACGGAATTCCGTCGCAGTGGACGGCGGCCTTTAGTGACCTCGCTTAGCCACAAACGTTACCAACGTGTCTGGTTTAATATCACGACACCCAGAGTAATTCACTCTCACCTTGTCGCCTGCCTCGGTGTACTTTTTGGTGGCCAGGTGATAGTTGTTCTGGGCGTAGGCGCACTCTGCCACCTTCAGTAACACCTTGCGACGCTCCTCGGCGGTGCCCTCGTCTGTGGACGGCGGGGACGGGGGAGCGGGGACAGGAAGAGACTGTCAGGTGATGCAAACAATGCATTGTTTGCATACCGTAACTCTCAGTGTCAGCCATTGCAATGGCTGACACTGAGAGTTACGGTATGGGCAAAGGGAATATAAGAACAATTAGGCAAGACAGGTCGACATCTCGCGATCTTATAAAGCGGGACGTAGATGTACTAAAATGCGACACGATACTAATAATGTGCAGAACTGCAGACTCAGCTTGCTCTCCGTCGAATTTAATGTTTTGTAAATGCCTGGTAAATCAGCGAGGCCGGATTATAACCAGCAGCTGTCCAACAGACGTGTTCCTGACTGTTTACCGTATATTCTGACATATTCCGAGAGAGCACCTGCTCGTGTGGGTGGACGTTACCTTTGGGTATGGTGAGTCGCTCGGCCACCTCCTCAGTGATGGGGATGTTGTGTTGAACGCACAGGTCCAGAGCCTCCACATACTGTACAAACAACACGATACGTACACGGGTCAGGGGAGCTACCGCACTTGGCGAGTATCCCCAACTTAAAAATTAAACGTACTTTTCCACATTTTGAAGCTACAGCAGCTGTTTGATATTCATATACCCAGCAAAAAGCTAACCCATAACTCAAAAGGTAAAAAATGTCAACTTGTGACAGCAAAAGGTCACTGCGCGGTACATATTTAGAGCCAACAGAAGACATGTACTTTAGCCCGTCCGTGTTTTCGAGTATCACCTTTTTGGAGATGGCGAACATGTCGACGGCCTTGTCGAACTGCCCGTTGTCGATGAAGAAGGCAGCGCACTTTGAGAGCAGCGCCGGGTCGCACTCGGAGGTCAGGTCCAGCGCGATCATCTGCAGCGCGTTAAACTGCTGGTGCCTGCGGCGAGGTAGAGAGGTGGCGATCAGACGGGTGACAAATTCAAAAAACGCGAAAATTATAGGTGGTCGTCAATCTCACACATCATGCCAAAGGTGGTTGTTAAAACTGAATTACCCCCAGCCTAGCGTAAACTTGCGTACCTAGTTTTTAACGCCAGTTAGTCAAAACCACTTCAATGTAATAAGGTGGCGAATACTACATGCACTTTCAGGGTAAGAATGAAGAACAAGTAGCATGCTTAGTAGTACGCTATTCAAACTCACTCCAGATTAGTGCAAACCTACAACTGAGACCGCTGCAGTGACCGAGAGACATTCAATCTCCCTCTTAATCTGAGACAGTCACGGACCCATCAGTCTTACATCCCAGCCTCAATGCCTTCCCAAACGGTCCTACCCTATTATCTACTCCCCCTCCAGTCTCAACGCCCAACCACCAAATCCACCCACTTGAAGGCGAGGTCAGTGGCCTTGGTGAGCAGTCCGGCCTTGTGGTAGAGCATGATGGCGCGCTCGATGCCTCCCTTGCCGAGCGACTCGAAGTAGCGGGCCGCATCGAGCTGCTCGCGAGGCCCGGCCATCAGAGCCAGGTTCAGCATCTGGTCCTCGAACTGGTTCTCCTGTGGCGTAGAGGGGTGAAAGAAAGGACGTCAGACGGGCGTGGGGTAGATCTCAGGCGCCTGGGATGGGAATACTAGAGTGAAGGACGAACAGTTACGGAGTTACCAGAGCTTTTCTTTAAAAAAAAAAAAAAACAACAGTGAAGGGGCCAACTCCACGAAAGGCTACCGGAGTGGTGTCTCTGTGACGGATAAAATATATGCATAATCATGTTCGCTTGATTATACCTACGTGAAACACAGTGACTACCGTGACACAATATTCCGTGCGAAATAATCGGGAACGTACTCAGTCCAGCTCACCAAACTATACTCGCACAAGTCACAACGTTGACAGCGTCTCCATCATCCCCTTCCTCATGCCACACTCAGATGCCCAGCACATACCTTGCAGAGACGAATGGCGTTGCCGTACGCCTGCGCGCGGGAGAAGAAGTGGATGGCCTCTTTGATGTTGTCCGAGTTCTCGTATTGCCGCGCCAGGTGGTAGCACGCGGCCCTGGGACACGTCAGGTACCAGTGAACCGACATACAGGGGAGTCAGGTCCGCTCACAACACGCTATGAGGGTATCATCTCCCTATCCCAGCTCTACAGCCGTTCGCCATTCATTGAGACATCTTCCTTTTCCACATTCCAAGCTCACACTTCCCAGAATATCATTTCCGAGGTACCCCATCCTCTCCCAATAGCGCTCATCCTCTTGATTAAAAAACTACCATCTAAATCCTCTACAGCTCTCATACTGTGCAGCTCGCCTCATACTCATATGAACCATGCACCCCACATCTCCAATGTTTCCCGTGACCGGCCGTGTCTGCTCCCCCCCCCCCCCCCACGCCCCACCCACACCGACAACTCACTTATCTCCGGTATCGTTGGCCAGTTTGGCGGCCTTCTCCAGATCGTTGAGGTAGCAGTAGACCCGCGCCAGAGACAGGTAGTCCTCTGCAGCCTCGTAGTACTCGAGCGCAGTCTCCATGTCACCGGTGGATTCCATGTACTGCGCCCACCAGCGCTTCACGCCTCTGTGAGCGAGACACGGACGTCAGTCGTTACATAGAGAATCACTACGTTTCCAACTCCATGACACGGCTAAATCAACTTAACAAAATTTCAAGTGCGTTTTTCTCGGATGCTATTCACCTTATGCAAAAAAATGAGTGAGTGTATGGCTTTAGCTAGCACCTAATCCTATATTTACAATTTTAAATAATTTTTAATGAAATGATAGAGAAAAAAAACATTTTGCAAAATCGGTTTAACTTGTGCCATGGAAACCTAGTAAATGTGCATGACCGGGGTGGAAAGATACAGAAAAAAGAGCAGATCACAATTACGCCGGTCCAACATCAAATAACAAGCAAACCCTCACACTGTTCCAATCTCACAGGGATCAAAGTTCGATGTAGATCGGCTGCTGTTGTAAGAGTATTGCAATGAGAGGTCAAAACCAGTAATGACAGAGATAACCAAATGTACCACTCCTTTTATATCCGACCGCGGCCCTGGTGCCGGACCAGCCGTGTCTTACTTGTCCTTGGTCTGCGTGGCGTACTGCTCCAGGGCCAGGGTGTCGTCAAACAGCATCCGGGGCACCTCGAACCGGTGTGTCTCCGACTGCTCGTAGAACGGCACAGCGTCCTGCAGCTCGCCTGGGGATGGACGGGGGCGGTGAGGTCCGATGGTTCTGAGGTAGATAGGAGAAGGGTTACAGTGCCCTTCGCCCATCTCACGGTATCCCTCAACGCGGTATCCCCTAAAAAAAACTCACTCGCCCGATGGTTTTCCGCAATTTTACCGACAACCCCTTCCATCACCCACACAACCTCTGATGCATACATAAAAACACCAGTTTTGAACAAGCCTCCCTCCCTAATCATGCCTAGCCAGTCCAAACTTGGTCCAAACCTCCCTTATACACTCCAGCCATCTGCCCCTCCACGTCCACTACCCGTCGCTTTACACCCCACACCTCACGCGTCTCCCTCCCTCGTCCCCTGTCTCACCGCGCGCCTCGAGCGTCTTGGCGCAGCGGTAGAAGGTGTGTCTGAGGTGTATGCGGTCCTTGGTGCGCGCCAGTTCGATGGCCTTCTCCATCTCCCCCGTGTCCTGGTACAGACGGTTCAGCAGGTCCCAGCGACCGCAGCGCTGGTACAGGTGCGCCGCCTCGTCCTGCGGGGGGTTCGCAAACACAGGCATTAAGCTAGGGTACTTACCAGAGGTAGTCGCTAATTCTGCGTTTTCTTTCATGGTGCAACAGCTAACTATTATATTACATCAATGACTTTAGCGGGATACGAAGCTTACGCAGCACAGCAAGGTACTTTCAGACTTTGCACCAGGAAGACGAACAGAATCTGTCACAGATATTTAATATCTCCCCAATAATCTAGGAACGTTTCTGCACTAGTAACCGGTCGCCACCGTCATCTATAACCGGCCACACACAGTAATACATCACTGTCTCACAATTGGTGAGTCACTCCGGCTGGCTACCCCCTTGCAACATACAGTCCGTAGTAAGGGATTAGTCCGTAGTAAGGGATACCACAGGTGGCTCTTTCCGTTCAAGTAACGCACCCATTCCACTCCCGCTGCCCATCCCTCGTCTCCGTACCTTCATGTCCAGCACGATGGCCAGCATGGCCACCCGGGCGTCCAGCTCCGGCTCCGACAGGGCCATCTTCAGCATGCGCGAGCCGCGCGCGAAGCCCATGTTGCCCAGGCACACGGAGGCTACGTCCAGCCGCTTGGACTTGACGCACATGCGGGCCATGTTCTCCCACACCTGTTGGCTGCGTAATCAACCGCGTCATCCAGCAGGCAAAATTCCTAATGGTGATGTCTGAGTGGGTAGGTATTGAAAGCCCCGCATTGAGTGAACCGGACACTAAAAGTATTCGTTGGGTGGCCTTAGAGTCGACAGCGGGAGTCTCAAAAGTTGGTAAAATCCATTCGATAGCACAAGCAAACTCGGGAGAAAATTAAGGAACGGCTTTTTAATCTTTTTTTTGGGGGGAGGGGAAGCAACTGCTTTCCTGGCATGTGCCATAGAAAACACACTGCGAGTTACAGTTTCTAAAAAGCTCAACCTAACATCTCTCACTCATCACGGTAAAGGCGATGGTCTGCTAAATTTCGGCCCGTCGTACCTTTTGATGGTTTTGATGGCTTTGAACGCCTCATCCATATTCCCCACGCTCAGGTGGTAGCTGAACTCCATCATCGCCTGTTTGGTGGTCTTATCTGCCGACTCGAGGCCCTGGAAGTCTCGCATGACGTGGGTGGAGATCTGCGACGGCCGTTTGGCGGTCAGGTAGAGCGACGAGCCGGTTTCCTGACGGGAGAAAAGGGGGTAGAGGGAGGGAGGAGTTAGAGAGTTGAGCTGAGCAGGGGAGCGCTGTGTCATAATACGACAGGACATGGCGTCGGCTGTAAAGTGACGACGAAATCATTAGTAGACGCACTGAATAAGGTTTCTGCTCTGTGGTAGATGCGACAAAGCAGGGGTGCAACTTTTTAATCCTTGAACATGTTCGCACGCCGAGAAGAACGCACCGATTTCTTGGTGGGAACCAAGAGACCGAGATGAATAGCATGGATGCACGAAGTGGTGTATTATCTAAGCAATTTATTAGTAAGTAACCCAAGTTTTTTAAGCATCATTTTCACAAAAATGAATTACGAGCTGGAAGAAGATATAAGCCACTTCTTCTACAATACACTGTGCGGTAGCCCACGAGAACGACTGTTTTAATGTATTTCATGCATCACTGTGCATTGTGCAATGTTCATTCATCCAAAGCTTATCACTCGACGTATTGCATCATTGTTTAAAAAAAAATGTTGAAAGAACACCCAACAAAACCACATCAAGAAACACATAGAGAGTTGGCTGCGTGCATGTTATGTACAGTGTACAGTCTCTCTTGAAAGTACCGTGCATCAGTACGGTGGATCCATCAAGCCCGACCGAGGAAGGGCTGCTAAATTTGAGAGTCACCGAACTATGGTCTGGGGATGGATGAGGATGACAATTGGTTCGGTGACTCTCAAATTTAGCAGCCCTTCCTCGGTCGGGCTTGATCGATCCACCGTACCGATGCGTGGTACTTTCAAGAGAGATTGTACTCCACGGGGAGTCTACTCTATACCTATCGAACATTCTCCACACCCAAGTGACGTCATGAGTCCAAACTCAGCCTTTGTCTCAGTGCCACAAGATGGAGAAGGTGACCGGGGGAGGGGCGGAATGGTAAAGTAATGAGTGAGAGGTGAAAGGAAAGGAGTGCCAGTGAAAGCAGGCCGCAAGCATCGCCAATGCCAGGTGTAAGATAAGGGGAGATAGGATAGACAAAGTTGGATGAGTGGGTGGAACATTGTGCTTGGTGGATGATGGTGGTTCAGCGATTGAAGCAAAAATGTGATGGACGAGCGATGGAAGAGTCGATTTCAGTATGTCATGATATTGACTAAATGAAGGAAATCTGGATTAGGGACGAGATAGTGTAGTGCGATAGGAGGTGTGTAAATAGTGAGTGCAGTAGACGGCCGTGTCGGTTTGTGAATGGCCAGATGTGGGCGGGGCGAGCTCAGGCGGTGCAGTGACGCCACAATGCTACCGCGATTCACGGAAACACTGCTGCGAGTCGCGCTACTCCTGTGTACGCTCAGTCTCTGTGACCCCAACCCAATCAAATACACGATGCATCACAAACAGCAGGCAAGAAGCAATCGTCAGGCAAAGTCGGCCCGTGAATCTCTCCGGGCACCAACCAAGCAACTCACCAGTGGTGGTAGACGAGTTACCACCGAACGACGGGCGGGAGGAAGGGACAAGGAAAATAGGGAAGAGCGACATGTCAAGAGAACGAAGTGAAAAGGAAAGACAACAGAAAAACACAAGGCGTCGTAGAATGAGTCCGCAAAAAGGAAAACAAATATTGGTTCATTAAATTGCAAATCACGGCGTTTGACAAAGAGGGCGAGACGAGTCCGGCAGCGCAGAGAAAAGAGAAGAGATATGACGTCAGAAACACAGCTTGTCTATCACCAACACGGTAGAGCGGCTATAACTTTATTACCGTAAGCAAGTATCAAACGATAAATGACTCCCATTACAGCGAACCCAGGGAGAGCATAGCACACCGGCTTACGCCAAGGCTACATCAAAGGTCCAGAGTTTCCCATTTTTACCTGTCAATCTTACGCACTTGAGAGATGCCGGACCAATCGGCCTCTAACCAGTCCAGTTACCTACAGTATCCTCGAAGGAAATATTTTACCTAACCTGTCTCCTAAGAAAGCCATCTATCCCTTGTTTCCAACCATTTCGCCTACCAATCCCTTACGACCGTCCCTCATACCTTGTCAGCGTCGAGGATGAGCGAATCCAGCTTCAGCAGCAGGTAGAAGTAGGGTACGGCGACACCGACCACGTGACTGTGCTGTTCGGAGAGCGGCAGCCAGTCCTGGACCACCACCCCGCTCTCGGCAGTGCTGAACATCGAGACGATTATCAGCTCGCTCTGGGGGACAAGAAGAGATGTTAATTTACCTTGAGGAGAATGTTGAGGAGATGACAGAGGGAAATACATCACCTGCAGCCAGCTTACGATTGTGTGGAGACGGGGAATAGATGAAGCTGCGAGATCACTGTAGAGGACCAGAAGACAGTTGCAGCAGGGGATACATTCTGCAGACTCAGTCGTCAAAGCATTCAACAATCTTACCTTTGTTAAAACGAAACAACCTTATTGACGTCAGTAAAACTCTTAACTACCCAGCTAGTCAGCAACAAATAAAGAAAGAGGTAAACTGGACCACATCAAGACGCTGGACAGACGCCGAGTTCACGCACCTGCATGCGGACCTGGCTGCTGGAGGTTTTATTCAGCAGTAGCGTGGACGAGATGGGCGGCTTGGTGGTGTCTGGCAGCAGTTTGGCCTCACAGACGAACAGGCGCGGATCGCTCGGCTCCCAGAAGTGGTTCACCACGAACCGACCGCACACGCTGCGCGACGACTCCAGCTTGGTCCTGTGCGGGTGTACAGAACAGCAAAGTGAGTTTGGAACGCAGAGGGCGCTCACAAATACTCTCACATACCATAAGCACTTGCAGAACTCCGCTTTGGTTATTATGAAGGGTCGCCACTCAGGCTTCCTGATCGCTCTGACGCCGTCTAACACCGACGAGGAACCTGAGAAAGTTGATCATCGAAGTGATCCCCATGATAACCCTTTGGACCATCCTTAAAAGTGATGCCTAATGTGACCCGTATGAATTTTGTGACCCATTGCATACAAGTTAACATACAGCATGACACAGACAATCTCACAGGCGACCTTAATAAACCCTCTACCTTTCCAATGACGCCTGACCCCGCTGACCTCTCACATGACCCCCATGACATATCCCGTGACCCCCATTACCTCTCCCGTGAGCTCCCTGACCCCTCTCCGTCCCTCCACCCACCTCTCCATGACGGTAAGTTCGCGCGAGTCGTTGCTAGTGGCCGAGTTGGGAGGCACCCTCTGGTCATCCTCGTCCTCTCGGCCCGAGCTGAAGTTGAAGTAGCTGACCGAGTCGGTGTCCACGTCCCAGATGTACACCTTCGGGTCCGGCAGCAGCGACGACTGGAACGTGTCGGGACGGGGGGGGGGGGGGTGGAAGTGTTGGATGGATACGCATATCATATCACATACAGAGAAGGGAGACGCAATAGAGATGCCGATGTGCAAACAGTATGTTTATCGTTATTTTTTCTTTTCAATGTCGTTGGTATGCTAGTTACGACACGGAAAAAAATAGTCCGACTCGCGTCGTAATTCTAAGTCAGCGAGCCGTAAAGCTCGCTTCATCTGAGTTGTTGCAGATAAGCTACATGGACCGAGTCTCAACACAATGAATCAAGTAAGCCGTGGGTTAGTAAAATAGCGGTTGTCCTGTTTCTATTTTTGTAGACACCATGTAACGCCGATTTCCCTCCGCGACATTCACTGAAACAGCCCGACTAAGCAGCACCGTCCTCCCCCCCCCCCCCCCCCGGCAACATGCCAGACTCACCTGGGCCACCAGGCAGCTGACTTTGGTGCCCTTACAGTTGACCCGGCACTGGATCAGCTCACCGAAGTCGGTGGCGCTGTCCGTGATAAACTTTGGGTTTGCCGCGCTCCGCAGCTCCCTGTCGGCAAAGAACAGGTCACAGGTGGAGGTGGGGACACGAGAAGGGGATAGCGATTAAAATCACGGCAGGGAAAATGTGAACCAAAGTTAGATCCCGTCGGTCACATGAAATAAAATCACAGAATGAAGCTAGCGACGACGATGTCTTATATACTATCATAAGAATCGAATAATAAATAATACAGGGTGACACAAAAAAACGGTCATCACCAAAATTCGAATAACTTCGGAAGTTTTATTCAGATCATCACCAAACTTCGGCCACTTTAGGTCACACCTATGTAGCAGACATCCACCAAGTTTCAAGTCTTCACTACGAATACTTTTAGTAAAGTGTGTGTTTTACGGATGCTCCACAATGTGCTCCAGGTGAGCGTCCCGGCGCTGCAGGGCGTAGGCACACCTGCATCCGGCGGGCAAAGTTGTCGATAACCCGATAAGAATAACGTTTCAGGGGTAGCACACCCCCTGAGCACTGTCTCCAGAGGCCATTGCACTCTGTAAAGTGCACAGGCATCGGGTTATCGACAACTTTGCCCGCCGGATGCAAGTGTGCCTACGCCCTGCAGCGCCGTGGCGCTCACCTGGAGCACATTGTGGAGCGTCAGTAAAACACACACTGTACTAAAAGTATTCGTAGTGAAGACTTGAAACTTGGTGGATGTATGCTACATAGGTGTGACCTTAAGTGGCCGAAGTTTGGTGATGATCTGAATAAAACTTCCGAAGTTATTCGAAATTTGATGATGACCGTTTTTTTTTGTGTCACCCTGTATAATGAAAATAAAACAATGCCGTAAAAAGCATGACTTGTAAATTGCAATAATCTAAAAGTTGAGCGCCGAAAAGCTAAACAATATGTGCTTTTAAAGCCTGAAGTGATGCTTCGGCACATTGTCCAAGGAACAAAAACATTGATAGGCAGGCATTGACACCGACAAATAAAAACATAAACTGACCACCCGAGCCTCTCACCGTCTGGAGAGGTCGAACAGCTTGAGGGCGCCGTTGACCGAGCCGACCACCATGAAGCTGCCGTTGATGTCAATGTACATGGCCTCGCCCTCGCGGTCCGTAAAGTCCACCTTCTGCTTCACCGCTCCCTGAAGGCGGGGGAGCGAGGGTGAGGGATACAATATCAACGTGAGCGACAGATAGGAAAGTAGCGCATATCTCTCGACCCCTTCACCACGCAATCTACGTTGTGACAAAAGTTGATCACTCGCTATAGGAAAATCAGAATTAGGAAAATCGTGGAAATCATAATGTGCTTTATTTTGATACATAATATCCTAACACCAGTATAACGCCTTTTGGGGCGACTAACGGAGCGAGCGAGAGGGTGGGCCTTGCACGTGCGAAATTGTGAGGGGGTACCTCCAACTGACTTGTGCACGGCACCCTACTAACCGGTCTCTAGCGATGTGCCAAATTTGGGCACAATTGGCCCAGCCGTTCTCGAGATCTGGAAGCGGCACCCTGCACGTGCGCACGTGCAAAATGGGTCCCAACTGACTTGTGCACGGCACCCTACTAACTGGTCCCCAACCGTGTACCAAATTTGAGCGCAATCGGTCGAGCCGTTCTCGAGATCTGGAAACGACCCCTGCACGTGCGCACGTGCAGCAGCGCCCCAACTCTGGCACATGGATATGCAGTGCCTAGTGGGTGCCTACCTACATGCCAACTTTCAGCGCAATCGGCCAAGTAGTTACCGAGATATTGCAACAATTACAAAACGGACACCTCTTCGTTTTGCACGTGGCACGTGCATAAGGGGTCACCCACATGCATCAGGAATAGTCCAATACTTGGTAGAAGGAATGAAGCTACCCTACAAAAATTACCGCGTGTAAATCGGTCAAGTGGTTGCTGAGATATAAGCCTCGCAAAAGCGTGACCACGGCCGGCCGGCCGGCCGGCCGGCCGGCCGGCCGCTCATACTCAGAAATTTCCGTTAATCTAAGGAAAGACTACGCTCGCTTCGCTCGCTCCGTAATTATATCAAACTACGCGGTTAATCATATTGTATCCCATCTGACTGGGCTATACGACGTGGGTCTGGTCAAGTGTCTTTGTTGTGACTTGTGCACATGTTGCTGGTCTTTTAGGTCTCAGGTGGCAATTGGCATAAATCGTGCCAGAGGATGGTCATTGCGTTGGTATTTCGGGTACAGCTCGTATGATACGGCCGCCGAGCGTTGCCTACCTGGAAATTGGCGACGACCAGGTCGCCCTTGTCGGCCAGGTACAGGTTGTTCTCGTACAGAGCTGCCATCTCACAGGTAGACTCGAACGAGCCTGCCAAAACGGATTGCCGGTGAGGGGGGAAGGTCACCGGGGAAAGGGCCAGACGGTCGGCGGTGGACAGCGGAGAAGCAATGGGAGAGGCGCATCAGACAAACAGTTTGTTTTGTTTTGTTGGGTTAGGCCTTTTCGGTCTGACAAGACCATTTCAGAGCCGGAAGGACGATAAGAATTAGGGAAAGACATTGACAAGACCATTTCAGAGCCGGAAGGACGATAAGAATTAGGGAAAGACATTGGTCTGGGCAGGCACCCTAGTGAGTCGCCGGGGCTGAGCCCGTCCGAAAGGACAGGCCGACCAGCCCCCAAGCACTCCTTGCACCCGGCTACGGGTGTGCTCCCTTGGGAGCGGGAGCAGTGGAGCCGCTCCAAGGGAGCAGCCCGCATGAGATAAAGGTGCCTGTCCAGCCCGGAGTGGGGGTTGCGGCGTGGAGGAGAAGGATTTCAGCTTCCTGAGGATGGAAACGACGGACGGGTGAGACAAACAAAAGACACTGCTAGTTAAGGACGGATAAATCAAGACCCAACACATTTCATTCAGGGCCGCATAGGCGAGAGGGGGTGGGTGGGTGTGTGTGTGGGGGGGGGGGGCAATGAGCCGATAAACGCCCGTCGCCCGATGGTGGACAGAAAAGAATCAGCCCTCTGAGACTGCCTTCACCTCCCCACAGAGCCGACCAGCTACACCCTAGGCTGGAGAGAGAACACGTCAACAGAATCAGCCCTTCCTAACGTCATTCCCTCCCACCCACCATCACCCCGCCCCCTCCCCGTCCCCATCGGTCCTTACCAACCACTCTGGCATGCTGGGCATCGGGCGAGAATTCGTACACCACCACCCGTCGGCCGCTCCAAATGACCACCTGGTCCACGGTCACAAACGTGCCCTGAATCTGGATGTCCGACTTCAGTTCCATGTGCTGCTTGTTGGTGAATATGTCAATCGAGACCTGTGTGGGGGAGACCTGCACAGCCGAGACCTGTGAAGGAGATAGGGAGGGAGAGTTGAAGGTATACGGACATATGACACATGGACGGCTGGGATCTGTGAGGGGATAGGTAAATGTGCTAGCGATACTGACACAAATGCTATATAAAATAGACAGCAGGGCTTGACTCTCGCTCGCTCGTTTGTCGCCCCAAAACGCGTCTCACCGCTATTGAACATTTAATCAAACTGTAACTCGAGTCATTCCTCGTTGCCATCAATGCAGCTACCAGCTTTCACACGACTATCCGATACACAGGACCAGGTAAGCCGTAAGACCCGGAGCTGAGCCGGGGAGGACTGGCCGTCCCCCGTCTACTGACCATGTCGTTGAAGTGGGTGCACATCTGGTGCTCCCGCAGGATCACCACGTCCTTCACCGTGTTCACGGCTAGCAGGTTCTTGGTGCTGCCCCATCTGAGGGTGGATAGAAGGGCGTCACGGATAAGCCCCAGCGGATTGAGTCACTGGGTGGATCAGGGGGCTCAGCAGGTGCAACCAAACGGCAGCTGAGATGCCTAACGCCGCATTTATAGAGGATTGAATATGACGTGGCATCGCGTCAAAAGATGTGGTCGGTGTCGTTTCAAGGGTTTAGCCAGTATCGGGACCGATGCGTCGAATGATCAAACCGATATCGTATCAATGCAATACATCGGCGTCGTGTAAAGTAGCCACCAACCCACGCCCGTGCTGACTTGCATCAAACGATTCAATTAGTGTCATGTGCATTGACTAATCAGCGTGATTACATTTGATCATCCATTTATGATTTAAGCCAAGTAAATACGGTCATGACTCATAACATGAATTAATGATCCGTCCCAAAAATAAAAATGCATTCGTACAGCAGAAAACGCAGGTAGGCAGTGAAACCATCTTTTCATGACCATAACCAAAAGCTGTAAAAAACGGACATGAAAACCAAATCTGACAAAAGCTGTCCGGTTCCTAATAAAGTAACGAAGAACCTGACGCCCGTACTGACTTGCACATTTTGGCCGGTCCGCTGACGGTCGCCACATACTGCACGTGCCAGTTGTGCTCCTCGTCCTTCTCCACGCGAAAGTACTTGTAGAAGGCCACCTTGCCCAGACTGGTGCCGGCGGCCAGCACCGCTGTGGGTGCGGGGGGACATGTGAGAAAGAGGCACGAACGCATAGCACAGTCAGGACAGACGTCAGAACCGGACATATGCAGATACGAAAACACAAAGGGTGGAGTGGAAAACAAGACTGACAAAGGGATGTCACCAAACACAGCGAGTTGCTTCACCTCATACATATCATCATCATGTATCCGGCGTCACAGGCATCGTGTAGCCGTTCAAAACACCAGTGTTGAGGATAAATATCCTTCAATCCCAATCGGCTTACAATCCCATCTCACGGTCACTTCCCGTACATAGCCCAGCAGTTGCAGCGGCAACGGTAGCAGCGGCAGCCGCAACAGTCTGACCAAACCGATGTTCCACCGACCTTTTCCACACAGTGAAAAGGTCGGTCACAGTAATGGGACAGTGGTCCCACCGACCTTTCCCTGTGGACAGCACGCCAGTGCCATGCACCTTTTCCCGGGCAGTAGCCCAGCCTTACCGAACTTTCCCTTAACAGTGGACATTGGACAGTATGCCTGTCCCACCAACCTTTCCCTGGGTAGTATGCGGCTAGTCCCCACGCACCTTTCCCCGGGCAATAGGCCAGCGATGTGACTGCATCCTTGTCGCTGAAGTAGTGTCCGTCCAGCCGGACCGCGTAGTTGTCCCCCCTGTCCAGGTCCCAGAGACGGATGTGGGGCTCGCCAGTGGCCACTGCCAGGATACCTTTACCAGCCCAGCTGAGCTGCATGTCCTGACTGCGGCCCGACAGTTTCACCTGGTCGAACGTAAATGGGAAAGGTGAATCAATCAACATGACAATGCAAGACAAGACACTGCAAGGAAAGGCAAGGCTAGGCGAAAAAAAAAAACACCAGAGAGGACGAAACAAGACAAGAAAACACGAGACAAGACATGACAGGACAAGAAGAGAAAGGGGAATTTATTTTTGTCATTCCGTTAACACCTCAGCCCAGGGTGAGCTCAAAAGGGTGAACTTAACATCAGTTTGAGCGGTACACGGCATTTGCATGCTGGGGCAACATACGATAATCATTATTGTTTCAGGAAAGCCACAATGGTAGCTGACAGCACAAGTTGATGATTTGTGCCGAGGGCCGCCGGCAAAGTCAAAAAGCGCAAACTGTCCAGCATACGAGACCACTGCATTACGCATCATCTCACCTTCGTTATTTCGGAGAGTGTTCCGTCGTACTCGACCTGGAACTCTCCGAGTACCATGGTATCCGTCACCACGACCAGCTCCTCCTTGGCGTCGTAGTAGAGCAGGAAGCGGATGGAGCCGTCCGCCTGCAGCACCTCCATGCAGCTGCCCGACTCGGTGATGTAGTAGATGACGCCTGCCGTACAGCGTAGTTAGGGATGTGTATTACAGCATAAATCGCTTCACATAGGTACGGAAACATTCGATGGATAAATTATTGCATTCCCTTATGGCAATAACATGATAATCAATCGTTATTTAAGAACTTTTTTTCATTTTCTTTTGTGATCTATGACCTTATGATACTAGGACTAATGAATAATTACATGACAGACAAAACACACATAGAATTTCCATAAATCAAAAGCAAAACTGCATATTCAGCTTCCTCTTACTTCCTGTCGGTGTTTTTCCATCTGTACATAATTATGTGTGTGTCTGTTATATGTATGTCTGTATTTACCTGTCTGTCTCTGCCTCTATCCCCCTCTCCTCTCCTTCCTCAACTAACCGGAAGCCGAGCCGACGAAGACATTGAGGTTCTCCTGTCTGGCGACCAGGAACCGGGTGGACGAAGTCTTGGGCCGCCACGAGCTGAACATGTCCAGCGCGACCTCATCGCCGCTAACGGCCGCGCGCGCCAGGCCACTGGTGAAACGAATAGAGGGTTAAATGGACGCTGACTTGAGCAGAAAATACACTCTTACCACAATTATAATGCACCATAAATTGAACAAGCAGGCACTCATCAGACGAATCCGGGGAGGGATTTGTGACAGCGCGCCCCTAAACCCTAAAAAACAAAACAAAAAACTGGAAGCCTTCTGGAAAATACGACTGAGTCAGAAGGAAAGGTCACCTAGTGCCTCTACCGCGTCCGTTTGAAGAATGCCTGCAGCCGTCAAGACCCAAAGCATCACAGCTCTAAGCCGAGAGCGGACCACTTAGCCGTTACGGGACGGAACATGACGAGACGACGGGACTGCGAGAGAACGGAACGGGACATGGCGGGACAAGACAGGACAGCTGGAAAGCACAGGACGGGACGGGATGAGACAAGGCGGGATGAGATGAGAGTAAGGATGTCGGTGCCACCGACCAGCAAAGGCAGAGTCGGGAAAACCACAGACTTCCCAAAACTGGGAGAAAGAATGGCCAATCAGCTTAGCGCGATGGCAAAAGTAATACTAGAAACAATTCACATGATTCATCCTTCAGCTAGGCGTGCATAATAGGGTGAGACAAGAAGTGCATGTGATGGCATCGGCCGTTCCTTTTTTACATCGCTTGGGCGGCAGTCTTTCAACTAGCGAAACTGCCTTTTAGTGATAGTGTATTGGTGACAAAAACAGTGATGTTTCGAGGTCAACGCTGAGCTGCTGGCGTGTTGTGAGGAGTCAGAGTTACTAACCCTAGGTCGACGCTGGGCTGCTGTTGGTGCTGTGAGGCGTAGGGGGTGGGGCGGGGTAGATTAGGAACTGGCCCGAAGGGTAGGGTTAAGGGTAGATAACTGGCGTTATCTTTAGTTAATCCCGTAACGCTTCGGCATCGTATGCTCCATAGCATACTCATGTGTTGGCTGTTTATCGGCCGGCCGTCTCTCTCTCCCTTATATCCTATTCACCTTCCAGGCGATCGTTAAGAGAGAGAGGAGACGGTCGACGAGGTAAGGAAATGAAGGTAAGTAAAACCAACGCAGATGGTTGGAGGGGTGGGTGGAGGAAACGTGCTCGGCAGCGACCGCTGCTGGTCCGCTTCACTCGCCCGGGCCGCGTTGAGTGGACCCCAGCCGTCCCGCTCACGGCGGCCCGCTGGTGACGTCACGAACCCTCCGGCCAGGTCATGTCGGAACACCGCTCGACAGTGCCGGCCGGCGCGGCTCTAGAGGCCAACCGCGGATACGCGTTTGAGCAAGGATGCGGCGTTACCATTAACTGGCATATAACTGGCGTTATCTTTAGTTAATCCCGTAACGCTTCGGCATCGTATGCTCCATAGCATACTGATGTGTTGGCTGTTTATCGGCCGGCCGTCTCTCTCTCCCTTATATCCTATTCACCTTCCAGGCGCCAATGACACCCGACAGGACAGAATGTTTGCGAGACTGTGCGCGGGTATATATGTAGGCATATAAACGCGTATGTTATAAGCCAATGGTACGTACCGTATAAGCCATTTCGTCCGTTTCACATTCTTCTTCGGACCCGATTGGGGCCGCCTGTTTCACGACGAAACATGGTAGAAGAAACCACGCCGGATATTGGCCATCAAACCTGAGTGCTCAGTTGCAGGAGGTGGAACCAACGCGAGTCGCCGCGTGACGAGAGTCGGGAACATTTCTGTCATAGATACGCATGTCACATTGCCGCGCGGGTACAAGCAGATGGCGTCGTAGTGGCGCGTCGATTTGTGTTACTCCGCTGCGGTGGCTGTGGAATGGTCAGACTGTTTTAAGTTGAAGAGCTGGGCGGCCGGGAACGGTCACCACCCATTGTGGTTAGTCGGGAACGTTAGCAGTCGGAGAGCAGACTGTTCGTCAGTCAAGAGTACACAACTGCATAGGCTGAATTAACACCAGTTACGGTCGGCCGGCCTAGAAGTCGGCTGGCTACACTGCGATCGGTCGAAGCCAGCTTGCCGAGAACAGTGCAACACACAACGATCGGTCAATAACGGTGCAGTGGGTTACTAGATTGCAGACAGACGAGCCGACGATTCGAAGCCGTGCAGGTGTCAGGCACGAGCAGACAAATGCAAAACTGTGGGCAGTCAGAGGTTCAGGCGTTGAAGACCGGTTAAGGTACACCGGCATCAGTGGTCGATGATGAGCCAGACTGCAGTGAGATGGATGCAGGGTGCCGGCAACTGTGAATCCACCACGATCGATCGTAAAATAATCATAGGGGGAAGCACAAGCCGCTGCGAGCCGGACAATGATACAGTTGATCACACCGTAGTCGATCGACGGCGTCGTCAGTCGTTGTTCTCAAACGTCTGAAACCAATGAAACGCACAATGTGGGCGGCCTACACGTGATAGTATAGCAGAGCCAGACTGCATGAACGATTAATGCATATTCGTTCTGGTCTGTTGGAAACAGAACAGAAGTGGGCAAACCAGGCTGCGACCACACGGAGAGCCAGGGGGGACAGTTTGACGCACTCAGCGGTCGGCGGGGATCGTATAGCAGCCGGAAGGCTAAAATACTGAGCGAGTAAACACGTCGGTCAGGCCAACATTAGCAGTCAAATAGCCAAACTGTTGAGTCGAAGATTCCGCCTGTCGAGACCGATGAAACAGTCTGTGAAACACTCCATGGGATTGGTCGGAAGAGTAGCCAGGTCTCGGTGCCGGACTGGGCTAGTTGGAGCCGGACTGACAACAGCGACTAAAGAAACGGTAGTCAGTAAGAGATCTGGACTGCATTGGATGGTTAAACATCCCCCGCGCAGTTGCACACAGGTATCGTAAGCTGTATATAACGCTAGGTAGTGGCGGATTATCGGTCGGACTCGGCGGTCGGTCCATAATATTAGTCGTCGGAGCATCCAACTACCAGCACGGGCGGTCGAGACAAAATGCTAGTATTTGGGTGGTAAAACTATTAGGCACTATCAAAACAGCAGCCACGCGTTTGTGGACGCGGCAGCTGGATCACATTGTTGCGTATGCGTCGGGACACCTGCACATACATTGTGAACACCCAGAAAACATGCATGTACGCTCCGGGAACGTGCAGTCAGGCCATCCGAGAGCGTAATCAGCCACATAGCCAGACTAACGGAGCGATTAAGTATGGGGGTATTCCACGTCAAATCAAACACCGAAATCCGTCATCCCCTTCGATTTTTCTGAAAATTTGTAGGCAGACTGGGCATGGTTCAAAACTGAGTTACGTGTAATATTTTCGAAATTTGATAACGTATCGCCGAGATATAGCTCATCGAATATAGCCAAAAATGCCACACATCATTTTTTTAAATGCTTATAACTCTGGTTCCTTTTCTGGTATCAAAATGATATTAACAGGGTCTTGTAGGCAATTGATAAGGCTTTGATTTTTAATTATAAAATTAAATTGAAGTGACCTTGAAATGCATTTGACCTTGAATTAAAACAGAAAAATTTAAATAGCAAAAAACACGCCACCTTCGATTTGAGTAATTTTTACATATTATGTCCGTCACAATGTTCCTAACCATCTGTGAAAAAATTGGCGTGGGCCATTCATAACTTTCGCGGCAAACGCCGTTTTCATGCATCAACATCACGCAACCGCGCGTGACCTTGAAAGACAGAGTCAAGACATGCTTGCTTGTGTACACTTTCTGAAATGAATGATTGCTGATTAGTGATATCCCAAACTCTGCGAGAATGGAAATGCATAGTCATCGTAGTCAAGCATTCACGTTCCATTGTAAAAGTGTCTCAGGCAAACGGTATTTTGCGGTGAATTTTGAGCCGTGTGGAAATGCATCATGAAATAAATTCAACGAAAACATGATCACGCAACGATATCTTCACGTCTTTTGATCTTCACTATATGAAAGAACATACATTTTTGAGTATGTATGGGGAATTTCTAGTTAATCCGATAATAAATATGGCAGTTAGGGTCCTGCTAAGAGTAACATGTCGCCGCGCCGCCGGCCGACGTGGGAAATGCAGCAGTCACAATTTTGTGTTTACACGTTCATATTTCAATTGTTTACCAACCTATTTTCAGAATTCTTTCACCATAAGATTGCCTGTACATTTCTTAGTCTTCTCACAAAATTTGATGCGAATCGAACGTAATCCGCGGTAAGGAGCGCGATGTAAATACGGAACCGTTCCGTCCCGTCCCGGCACAGTCTACAATTCAGGCGGCGCGTAGCGGTCGGCGCCGGCTGCCGAGTCGCCGCGTCGCCGCGGCGACAGGATGTTCACTTTACACCGCTATTACTAGAACAGTTGTGAACCGATTGTCTTATTGCTTGCACGATGAGATGTGCAATTCAATTCTGGACAGGTAGCCATAAGTAATTTCGCATCAATATTATGAGATATTGGCGAAAAACAGGAGGGGTGGGGCGAAATTCACTCTTCCCCTCCACTGCGTGTGCTAACATACGTTTGCATATGTGCCATTTTCTTCAAAACTTATGAATGGCCCACTCTAATTTTTTCACAGGTTGTTAAGAATATGGTAGGCAATAAAATATATGAAAATGAGCCAAATCGAAGGTGGCGTGTTTTTTGCTATTTCAATTTTTGTGCTTAAGAACAGAGTTCAGCAAATTTCAAGGTCATATATTTAAGTCGATGCAATTCTAAACAAATGCTTAAGAAATTACCTAAACAGTAAGGTTTATTTCATTCAAATCAAACAAGTACAACCAAAGTTATGGTCGTTCAAAAATATAAAGATGCAACATTTTGTAAAAATTTGATGCCCTATATTTAGAAGACCTGTGGTCAGAATGTGCAAAAAACATCAATGTAATGTCCGGGGCGGCACAGGAACTCGCTCACAAATTTATAATGAAATCGCTGATGGTAAGGTGCAAAACAGCCGATTTTTGTTCGATTTGACGTGGAATGCCCCTATGTGAAGGGCAGGCGGTCGGAACGCATCGTAGAGAACGAGATGTCGCCACTACCGGCTCTACTGATAAACGCCTGTAGGGACGGGCCACGATCTATCGCCAGTCACTGCAGCGCAGCTGACTGGACCACTCTGTTCGACCAGCATCATGGAAATGGCAGTCTGGTGCTGCCGGTCCATCGGGAAGATGAACGATGGAGGTCTGAGCCAAATGCGGTTACAGGAACGAGCACGTGACCGTCTACGATCGGTCATAACGGCTTACAAGACAGCCACCACCCCAACGGCTGACCGTACTAGTTGACACACAGTGCGGCCGGTCGTACGCAATGGGTTCGATCGGAAACATCAGCAGCCGGTTCGCCAGGACTGCAATGCTGGGTAGCCATTCTGATAGACTCACGACTGAGGCGCAGTTCTGTCGGTCGGATACACATGTGGTCGGTAAGAAAACGTCGGCAGCCGGTTCGCCAGGACTGCAATACTGAGTAGCCAGTCTGATCGACTCACGATCGAGGCGCAGTTCTGTCGGTCGGATATACAATGTGGTCGGTAAGAAACGTCGGCAGCCGGTTCGCCAAGACTGCAATGCTGGGTAGCCAGTCTGATGCTCATGATTGAGGCGCAGTTCTGTCGGTCGGAAAAACAGTGTGGTCGGTAAAACGTCGGCAGCCGGGTCGCCAGGACTGCAATACTGAGTAGCCAGTCTGATACTCACGATTGAGGCGCAGTTCTGTCGGTCGGATATACAATGTGGTCGGTAAGAAACGTCGGCAGCCGGGTCGCCAGGACTGCAATGCTGTTTAGCCAGTCTGATACTCATGATTGAGGCACAGTTCTGTCGGTCGGATATACAATGTGGTCGGTAAGAAACGTCGGCAGCCGGTTCGCCAGGACTGCAATGCTGGGTAGCCAGTCTGATACTCATGATTGAGGCGCAGTTCTGTCGGTCGGAACCAGTGTGGTCTGTAAGAAACGTCGGCAGCCGGTTCGCTAGGACTGCAATGCTGAGTAGCCGGTCTGATAATCGCGATTGAGGCGCAATGCTGTCGGTCGGATATACAATGTGGTCGGTAAGAAACGTCGGCAGCAAGTTCGCCAGGACTGCAATGCTGGGTAGCCAGTCTGATAGTCTCACGATTGAGACAGTTCTGTCTGTCGGATAAACAGTGTGGTCTGTAAGAAACGTCGGCAGCCGGTTCGCTAGGACTGCAATGCTGAGTAGCCGGTCTGACAAGACTCACAATTGGGGCGCAGTGCTGTCGGTCGGATATACATTCTGGTCGGTTAGAAAACGTCGACAGCCGGTTCGCCAGGACTGCGAAGCGGAGTAGCCAGTCTGATACTCACGGTACGTCCGGAATACCCTGACGGAAACGGCACCTGTTATGGCAGCATGGGGATTGCTGCTGAATCCATTGTTGTCACCTCCGTCCACGCACTCAGACAAAACCCGCTTCCGGCAGCGCCGCCGAGCCGCCAGCCCGCGCTGGTTCGGCCATCCCGTGGCATAGCTGGACTACCGAGGACAACGAGACGCCGCCAGAGGCGGTGGTCGAAAACGCTAACAATCGGATGGACAGAGCTTACCAGTCGAACAGCCAGACTGACTAAACGATAAGCGTTTTTGCGGGCGCTAGAAACTTAGCATTGGGGCTAGCAGACCGCCTCAGTTGCTGTGCAGATTGACGAAACCGGGTAGCTGCGTATCCACTCGAACGTCACCTGGTCCGTCGTATAATTAAATCTTCCTTTTTTATACCTGTGTCACAACACATATAACCATATCTGTGTCACCTTTATTGTACTTATAAACCTTGGTTTGCCTTAGCCCATGATTTCATCCGTACCATGCCTACCATCTTTAATTAAGACTGTGTCCGTCATTGTGTGACCATGCCCGTAGATGTTTTATCAATAAACTAAACTAGACTACATTAAACACGTCGAAGCGGTCGATCGGAAACGTAAGCGGCCGCGTCGCAAGACCATGCGCCCCGTGGCATAGCCTGATGAGACGACAACGATTGAGCTCACCCAGACGGTGAAACGATCATAGTCTTGTCGCTAAACGGCATGGGTCGGGAGCCAGACTGTGGGAAACGATTAAGTACGCCCGGACGGTGATGGAAACGTTAGTATAGCAGTCACAATACGGACGGCGATTTGGAACGGCAGCGGTTGGGTGGCCAGGCCGCATTCAGCCGGCTATCCGCGTTGACGAGAATGAGACTTGACATCATTACGGCATTCCTTTCATGTACTCTTAGAAGCGCAAGATACCAAGCCAGTAAACAGCCGATTTGAATGACAACGAGCGAACGTACATTAAGACCTACACGCGCGAAAGTACGATGCGAGACATCCGACTGACCCGTGCGGGCGACACTCGGCCTAAGCGTTCAAGCAGCTAAGACGCGTTGGCCTAGCCATCTAAGACGCCGAACTGGAAAATGGATCCAACTTCCAGCATCGCCTCTGCTGTCCGGGTAGTCGCGATCGCGTTCGCCGTCCAAAAGCTGCCCGAAAGCAGGATTATGCACATGGGATCATTTACGGACTAAAGGTCTCCCGAGCGGCATTACCGACGAGTAAGGAACCACCGTCACTTACTGAAACACGCACCGATTCAGCAACCGAACTATCGAGATAGACGATTGCTGCTGTGAATACCGTGTGATCATTAGTGATACGGCAGACGAAGTGCCGGCCGAGATAGGTACAACTTAGCCCATTATCACCAAAACGCCTTTTTGGGCGAATAACGAGCGTATGAGAGAGTGAGCCCTGCACGTGCGGAATGGCGAGCGGGTACTTCCAACTGGCTTGTGCACTGCACCCTACTAACCAGTCACTAGCAGTGTGCCAAATTTGTTGGCAATCAGCTCAGCCGTGTTCCAGAGATCTGGAAGCGGCACCCTACCGACCGGTCCGGAACCCATGGGAAAACATTGCCTGGTGGGTGCCTACTGCCTACCTACATGCCAAGTTTAAGCGAGACCGCGCCGGTGATTCTGAGTTATTGTAATGGGAACAAATCTGACACTTGTTCTTTGCATTTGCACGTGCAGTGGGGGACCCACACGCAACTTCCTGACAGAATTACCGCATGTCAATCGCCCCAGCGGCTGCCGAGATAGGCCTCTCAGAATCGTTACAGGCCGGGCCGGGCCAGCCGGATCACTCATACTGAGATTTTCGTCATGTTGAAAGACTCGTTTCGCGCTCGCTCGTAATAAAGGATGACGCTTGCCACCGCGGTGCGCTGGACCCTTGGCGCTGCCTAAAGGCGGTACCATCCTGATCGTGTAGTCATCGTGTAGCAGCGTTCGTACGGTTCGCAAGTCGGTGCGTTAAGGGGCATCCCACGATACATATGAGTACCTCATGCTCGATCGTAGCATCTGCAGCTGTTCAACACGCTGCAGTCAACCGGGTCGCCAGGTTGACTCACAGCATAGCAACACTAACGGTCGGGCCGGCGGATCGGCCAGCCGGGGACGGTACCTTTATGGCAGCAGAGTCCATCAGCCGTTTCCTCGCTCCAGACACCCGTAGCGGTGCGATAGGTGAAGCACGCACGATACCTGTGACGGCAGCAGATTCTATCCATCGTCCCGTCACCTCCGACGTTGATAATCACTGCACTGCAAGAAAACGTGCTCGGCAGCGACCGCTGCTGGTCCGCTTCACTCGCCCGGGCCGCGTTGAGTGGACCCCAGCCGTCCCGCTCACGGCGGCCCGCTGGTGACGTCACGAACCCTCCGGCCAGGTCATGTCGGAACACCGCTCGACAGTGCCGGCCGGCGCGGCTCTAGAGGCCAACCGCGGATACGCGTTTGAGCAAGGATGCGGCGTTACCATTAACTGGCATATAAGTTACTGACCCGAGGTCAACGCTGGGCTGCTGCCGGTGCTGTAATGGATGGAGGTAGGGGTAAGGGGAGGAGTGGAGTAAGTTACTGACCCGAGGTCAACGCTGGGCTGCTGCCGGTGCTCCTCCACGGCCCTGAACACCAGCTGGGTCAGCGGGTCCTTCAGGTCGTGCTGGAACACCACTGTGACGTTGCACTGACCGTCGCCCTTCCATCCGACCAGCGTACCCGACTGCGGAAGAAGGAGACGAAGGGACGGCGGTCAGACACTGGCGGACAACGGTCACATACGAGGATATTGATAGATACAGGAGATAACTTGAACAGATACTGAAAATACGGCAGCCAGATGACAACGTTTTGTGTGTGATTGTGGAGTTCGTGTGCTTGTAATCGAGTTGTTCCGTTTCCTGTGTTGAGTGTTGAGGCCGCAGTTAGGCTGGTGTTTAAAAGGGCTGGTTAGTGGATCAGGTAGTTTACATTTTACAAGTGCTTAGGTGAATGAGGGGAAGTGTCTGAACTGATGCTGCTCTCTGCGCACCGGTCATAGGTCCAATCGGATCGGCCGACCAGTAGGAATGCATGGAGAAGGGCCGACCGGCCAGAACCTGTGGTGTGTATGAAATGGGTGACCGGCCTTCCAGACTTTGTGTACGGAAGGGGACAGGCCACCCGGAATGAGAAGGGACCAGCCACAGGTCCAGTCTCCCAGTCGGTCAGTTTTTGCTGTGCCGAGCACACTCCACACCCCACGCCCCGCCGGCAGCCGGACAGCTTTCACAGGGACCGGATGCCCTGGAAAGGCGGCCGATTTATCGGTGCCACATCGGCACTTTTGGTGATCAAACCGGAAAGCGAGCAGGTAATGTCGGCCGCTGTGAAAACGCACCGCACAGCCTAAAAGGCTCGTGTACGATGGATATTAGTGAGGTTTGGACATCGTTGCGTCAATCGTCGTAATCGCAGATAGTTGTGATTTCTCTTGCACAGCAAATGTCACTAATGAGGTTAGCTCGCAACGGGGTTTGCAGAAGCGCATGTTAAGATAAATGACGTAACCAACCGCACGGGTCAGCAATAGCGCTATAAAGATTTTTTTCCGAGCAAGAAACACAGCATACGATAAACATCCACGCCAAAGCCAGTTTCGCAGTGGCGCAGTTTCTCCTCTCCTGTACTGAGTTTGCTCTTTTTCATCTCGAGAATTTCGAACAGCACAGTCGGGCGACACGAAGATGTATGTTGACAATCTTCTTATGTAACGGTCATGTCAACTGCAGTTTTCCGAGCCCGTCGTGGATGTAAGCTGCCAGGGAAAGTTTAGCCATCCGGTACGTGCATTCCCAAACTACAAAGCAACCGCTGAGAACGGTCTCGGCGAAATGGAAATCAAACTCGTTTCAGATCCCGGTTCTTCTCGAAAGCAAAGCCCCGGCACCCGGTTGTCAGAGAAAACCGCATCTCTTCACGATTGTCGGCATCACTTCAAACAAACGAATGTTAAAAAAGCAAAGCAGTGTCAGCACCTCAGGTTTGACACAAACAAAAATTTATTAACTATAATACAGGTAGGATATGAGCTTATGACATGACAAATACCAAACAAGTTAAAATCCGCTGCAACTTGTGCGGTTCAAGCACGCTCTGACGCACCCATATTCATATCCGAGACACCTTCTCATATTTCATGCTCGGATCTTTGACAATCCCGGTAGGGATCCAGTCTCATTTCTCAAGAATCGTCAATTCATGGGAGAGTTCACCACCGACAATTATTACGAGCGAGCGAGCGCAGCGAGCGAAGTGAGTCTTTTCAATATAACGAAAAAATCTCAGTATGAGCGGCCCGGCCCGGCCTGTAACGCTTTGAGAGGCTTATATCTCAGCAACCGCTGGACCGATTGGCCTGCGGTCTTTTTTGCTGGGTAGCCCCATTCCTTCTACCCCGTAATTGACTACTTTTGATACATCTCAGTGACCGTCGTGGCACGTGCCAGGTGAAAAGTCAAGGGTGTTCAAGCTGTTTTGCAAAAGTATTGATTTTGAGAGGCCCATATCTCAGCAGCCGCTTGGGCGATTGTCTTGCGGTAATTGTTGTAGGGTAGCTGCATCACTTCCACCAAAGGTCGGATATTCTTGATCTATGTGAGTGACCCCCACTGCACGTGCAAAATGCAAAAAGAAGAGGTGCCAAATTTGTTCCCATTTCAATAACTCGGTAATTACTGGGGCGATTTCGCTAAAACTTGACATACAGGTAGGCACCCACCAGGCAATGCATTCCCATGTGTTGCGGTTAGGGTGCCACTGCACGTGCGCACGTGCAGGGGGCGCTCCCAGATCTCGAGAACGGCTGGGCCGATTGCGCTCAAATTTGGTACACGGCTGGGGACCAGTTAGTAGGGTGCCGTCATCCCGTGCAAAAGTCAGTTTGGACCCAATTTGCACGTGCGCACGTGCAGAATGCCGTTTCCAGATCTCAGGAACGGCTGGGCCGATTGCGTTCAAATTTGGCACACCGCTAGCGACCGGTTAGAAGGGTGCTTTGCACAAGCCCGTTGGAAGTACCCTCTTGCCCTTGCGCACGTGCAGGGCTCACTATCTCGCTCGCTCGTTCTTCGCCCAAAAGGCGCTTTACTGGTGGGTTAGTGTGGCAGTAGCAGATGAGGTCCTATATGGCGAGCAGGAGTCGTCCTTTTCGAAGACTGCTTGCAAATTCAATGTTACCCTTGCCACGTGATGTTCACAAGATGCTTCGATAAAACGGGAGATGTGTTGTACTGGAATTGTCGACAGATGGGCACCTATTGAGACTGGCGGGTATGCCGCTGAGTACCCATATGACCCATGGTCTGAATGAGCAGCAAACTATTTCTAAAACAGGACACAACTATAAACATGTAACGATAAAATGCGTACCTACCTACAGCAAGCAACCAATATTAGAGCGCAGTGCGCACACAAGAAACAGGCACTGCTCAGACGAGTGTGCCACCACCTGCACTTTCTATCATCCATGGAATACCTATGGATTAAACTTGGCACAAAACCTTCAGCCATGGAACAAATATCACTCTCGGAACCATAACTTTCACATCTCTCAGTGACAGGGTTCACGGTGACACAAATCGGAGTAGTTGTACCGGAAATACCGGCTAGCTGACCAGCGGAGGAGCTGACCGGTCGCCGGTTCCTCAGCTCACCACACGAGGCCGTGTGACCGGGTGGGCGGAGCCACGTCGGGTCGGGTCGGCCGTGGCACCGGTCCGGGGGACAGGTGTCACTGCTCCGCCGACCGGCGCCGCGGCCGCACGTCCGGCTCTTCCGCTCTCTTCTCTCTTCTGTACGACTGCGGGCCCTACACCAGAGGGTCTTCTCAGGTTATCAGGACTTGTCTCCAACAGTCTCCAACCCAGTGTCAGTCGGTCCCGGAGTCGTCGCTACAGCCGCTTCATCTCGCGGAGTCCAACACGGACCATACAGCACAGAGCACACCAGCCATCTGAGCACATCGGAGCACCCGGAGCACGCCGAGCACAGCCATGGCGCTGGAGACGGTGCGCGACATCACTGCGGGCCTGTGGCAGCGGCGTGACCCGCGCGTGCGTCACCAGCTGCTACAGGCCTCGCCCAGCCTGGTCCTGGCCGTGCTGGCCGCCTACCTGCTGCTGGTGCGCTACGGACCGCGCCTGATGAAGAACCGGCAGACGCCCAACCTCACCCTGGCCATGGCCGCCTACAACGTGCTACAGGTGAGTTGATCGCGAGGGCGGGGCAGGTCGGTTACTATACCCGGACCGTCACAGCCTGCTCCTAAATTACCTGTTTTGATGGTCAGTTTGTCTGAATGTCTAAACTATCACATGGGACCACACTTATGGCCGCCCATGATGCCAGCCAGACATGTGCCTGGATCCGAGAAAATATGTCTGGGATCTGATCCCACGGATCCTGATCTCGGATCGGACGGGATCCTAGATCCAGCTCTTTAAATTATCGAGAGATCCGTAGGGATCATGGATCCGAGTCTAATTTCTTGCTTGATATCCAGGGAGATCATAGATCCTCCTTTACTTTTTAGTTTTAGTCAACACAGAAATCCCCGAAATCACTTGTTACAACTCAAAAGCGTTCTGTTTTAGTGATTGTATGTGATTGCACGTCCCAATCCATAGTTTTGTGGTTCTTATTGACAAAGGAACACTTGGAAACCTGGTTTAAAATGTTATGTATGGTGGGATCCACTCAGATCATAGATCCATGTTCTCCGTTTATCGTCAGATCCTATCGAGATAATAGGTCCAGGATAAATTTTTCACACCGGATCCGGTGGGATCATATATCCTAGCCTGCAGTTTACTTCGAGATCCACTGAGATCATAGATCTATCACTCGGATCCATGCACATGTCTGGTTAGAACCATCCCTCAAACCCATCAAACTGCTTCATAGGCTACATTAAAGCCATTGCGTTTTCAACACTGGTTGCCCACGCTGCATTGAAAAGCGCTAAAACACATCCATCCCAAACATAACTTTCTAAAGGTTTCCTAGTGAATGTGATCCACACCGGTTAAACAACACCTATCCCGTCCCACAGCGTAGGTACTGCAGGAAGTGGGTTACCCGTGCGACACATAACCGGTTGACAGTCGCGAGCCAACGCGTCTGAATGACGCAACGTGCGTTAATGACGTAACTAACGTAACTTACATGAAAGCCGTAACGTGCAAGAATGCCGACATATGCGCGACTGTCATCACGTGCATGGAAAAAGCAGCACACGTGAATGGAAATGCAGTCTGCCATCCGTTATCACTTTGCAGACCCATTGAGCGGTAGTCTAAATCCCATCCACCCTTAGCAGTGCGCACATTAGCGAGACCAGGAGATGTGTAACTGTCTTACCTACTAATTGGCTTGCGAGACCAACAAAAAATTAACGCCTAAAACTGTGTTACCTTAGCCGTGAGTACTAAGTAAGCCTCCGCCTACTGGCAGCGTTCCAATTATGGCGATGATAATGAAGGTAGCATTGTTAAGGGAATGAGTACCTAAGGTTACATCGATGCGACACAATTTGCGTCATCTTCGTCCATAACCCCAAGGAAAAAGGAGCACCAAAAGCAACACATGACTATAGTACCCACAACTTGTAACAATAAGACTCGTCTGGCTGTCAACCAGAGTTCTTCCGGCAACCTGTCTCCCCTCCATCCCCGCCCAGACTGCTGCCACACCGGCTACCGGCACCGCAAACCGGTAAAAAGTGAAAACCAGACGAGTTTGACCACACCATGCTGCGACAACAGCCAGACCAGCGTTTTCACTCAGAGCGCAAAAACAGCGGCGTCCTGCAAACGGCGTGAAAGTTATAGCCCCTGGCAATCTAAGGTTGCGGATCGTCAAGGCCGTATCTCCCAAGATATGTTGAAAAGCCGCGCCAATAAAATCGTCATGATATTCTTTTAACACCACCTCTACCATCACTCTTCGACCTCTGAGCTTTCAGGTTCAGGTATGAAAAACACAGCTCTAACCTCTGCCCTCTTCCCCGTGCACAGGTGACTCTTAGCGCCTACATGATGCGCGAGTTCATAGTCAGCCGGCCCCAGCGGGTCATCTGCGCCGTGGTTGATGTCAGCGAGAACCCTGTCTCCAAGAGACTGGCCGACGCCTGCTGGCTGTTCCACATCAGCAAGGCCGTGGACTTTCTGGACACGGTGTTTCTGGTGTTGAAGAAGGACAACAAGCGGCTGACGTACCTGCACGTCTTCCACCATGCGTCCATGTTCTTCAGCTACTATATCGCCACGCTGTTCTCGCCGGGTGAGCATGACGGGAGAGGTGGTGGATGGGATGGGACGAGATGTGGTGGACGGGATTGGATGGGATGGGATGGGATGGGATGGTGTAGCGGGCTACATCTTTTCTATTAGTTTACTATTAGCTGTAAACTTTAAATCCTGGCACGACCGACTACTGCCCGATCCGGACACGCTGGCCGCGTTCCGTAGAGACCCTCTCCTTTGTTTTCCCGTGTCCCACGTCCCTATCGACACCGGCCGCCCATAATTTAGAAAGGACAGCAGCACAGAGCGAGGTAACGCGGAAGAAAGAGACGCGGTGACCTAGCGGGTCACCGTTCGTTACGGACGTCGTCACTTGAGGGCAGCACCAACCGCAATGGAAGATGATAAAGCCATGCAAGAATGCAGTTATGCATAAAAAAAAATCGACTCAATACTGGACGTTGCACAAACCTGCAATTCAGATTAACTTGATCACCAAGCAATCCGAAAGTCGCAATAGTTTTATCGCCTGACCCCACCATATAGCATTCCAGCAACGACCAGTGCAACAAGGACGTTTTTGGAATATAGACTGTCTAAATGATATCCAGAGGAAGTCATTGCGCTAGCAGCTCATGAGCTCGGAAAGCAAGTCCTTGTGGCGGAGGAGCATCTGAACAAGAGGTACAGCACCTAGAGTACGAGTGAGTGAGCAAGTGTAACGGAAACTAGAGGCAACATTACAAAGGATAAATGGTTGCGGGCTGCCTACTATAAACAAGCATTTCGATTTCAAGCCGCTTTATCAGAAACAAGCGCAGATCAACAATAACGGGCATCGTTCGCCGATGAAGACTGGAACCGAAGAATTGTGCCATCTAATGCCTATTCAAATGCTTTCACATTCAGTGCAACCGTATTTTGGAGAGGCCGTTGCAAATGGAAAACCGAGCACGCCCTCAAGCCACCGCAGTAAGAAGACAAAGAAGTGCACCTGAATCGGAGCCAGCACCCGGAACCAGGTCAGGAGAGGGCGACGCCACCCCGACCCAACTATAAAAAAGGGACCGCTTTACTTCGGGATCAGTTAGACCGGAGCAGTCAGACCGAGACAGTGAGACCGGGACGGGAGGACCGAGTCAGTGGGACCGCCGCAGTCGCGTCGGGATCACCGCGCCCGAGAAGCCATGCCGCCGGGAGACGGGCCAGTTCAGCCGCATCGCTGCAATCGTCCTGCTCCAGTTCTCTGCTAGTGCCTCGAGTGATGGAGACGCAGGACAGCAGCCGTCGACGAGAAAGGACGCAAGTGCAACTGCCGAGGTTGACGTCACACTCCAGCTGCTAATGTGAGTGTTCAATCTGAATGTTCGAAAGTCTGCTCTCCCTGATCCTATCTCCCCCCCCCCCCCTGGTTTACGCCTTGCCCGATCTCTCCAATGGTCGTTGCCAAGCTAATAGCAAATTGCTTTGATTTATACGGTCGGTCCAGACAATTCTAGTTGTGGTCTCCACTCTCCGCGATCGCCAGAAATTATTGGTGCAAAGCTGTATTGCGGTTTTGTTCTTGGGGTCTTACTACCGGATAGGCTGCGTTATAGGTGATCGAGGTTTAGCTAAAAATTCACGAGTGCGTATATTTATGTCATTGTTAGGATCCCCAGCTTACCATTTGCAGACTAGGATTACAATGGGATTCCTAGTGTGTTTATGTTCAACAGTGATGTTCAGTTGGGTTTGTGAGAGGAGTTCAGGGCGTGGTTTCAGTCTCTTTTACAGTGATGTGAGCTGGTATTGCTGCGCCACATAGCGGGTTAATAATGAAGCTGTTAGTTTCTGTACGAACCTGTCAAAGACAAAGTTAACAATTTAACCGGTTAGGCGTAAGTCATTTATTATTGGTATTCTGTTGAATTAGCGTTTTGACTTGGAACATGAATTAGACTGTATCTAAATTCAACGTGTTTAATTTAGAATACACACTAAAGCTATGAAACGTTCTGTTGTGGGCATAGTGGGAAGGATCGAGCTCTTACAAATTTGGAAACGGGTGATTGGCCACAAGGTCAATAAGATCATCCGTCGAGACGTCATCAACGCTTTTCCACTCTGGTGTTTCGTGGAGTTCGCACTACAGTATAGGGGTTTACATTAGATACACACACACACACCGAATAAGAAGAGCACATATAGAAGAAGCACACGGTGTCTGATCGACGACCTTGGTCCAGCTGTTAATTCCGACGGGTGAAGCGGCGCGGCGGTGGGCCGCCCAGGTTTATGGGCTCAGGACTGCAAATTCAGGTCAGAATTCAGCTGTTAAGGAATTCAATTACTCGAGGCATGCAATTTTGGAACTAACGTGGTAAATTGTTCAAAGATGTTGGGTCATCATAATGTCACTAGGTCGTCGTAATGTCGTGGTATTATCGAGCGCATAGCCATCAAATGACGTTTATCATGGGCAGTCCGGGCGTACTGTTTGCATCACTAGTCGTGGGACAGAGCTGGCGGCGGACAGGACGGTCCGTCGGCTCTCGGTCGTAATTTATGGGAGATTTATTGACGCAGATTATTTCAGACCAGGTAAACAATATCAGTGAAATTGTTGGGGCTTATATTTTAGCGAACCTGAATACTCGTGGTTTTGTGGTTGCTGGTGACAATCATTTCACCCGACAAAGATTGACGAAAATTTAAGGGCTCAAGATGATACATTTGACCTTTCTATCTGTCATATTCGAGTGGCTACAAGGTATATTGCAAGCTGACTATCTTAGATCAATAAGCCGGAGTCTAAATGAGGAGAGGGTTTGTTTGCCCGGCTCTTATGTCGGAATGTTGACTAGCATGACTTAGACACAGAACTTCCTGAGAAATTAGTCCAGACCGGTAATGTAAGGTAAGGAGCACATCGTCTTTAGCAGAGCTATTCACGTTACCCACCGTGGTGATACCGCGGTTGTCGTTGGCTTCCCGCAGGATTAATTAGTGGGCAAAGGTAGGCAGGCTCAGAGGCATGAAACGGCGGATCCCAGCGGAAGTCAAGGATCCATCAGGAATGGTGAAGTGCTGGGTCACTGGTAAGTCATCCACAGGTGGTGCAGGAAGCCGTATGTCCCAGGAAGTCATCATACTTATCTGCATCTTGATCATCGGCATGAGCCAGGAGTTTCCGGCCACATCCGGTGATGGACAGCCTCTGGGGGACCGGGAGAGTCCCCCCTCGGAGTTCGTGAGTCCTGGTAACGTAAGACCCACGGAACCAGATGAGTTCCAGGCAGATAGTTCCAGGACATGGATACGTGAACTATGGTCCCAGGACGTGAACGGTAAATTCCAGGACGTGGACCGGAGGGAGCGCGAGGCCTAGCGCTCTCTCAAAAGGGAAACCAGCCGGGTGTAATTCGCGAATTCGCATCATAAGTCTATTGGACGTGTTGTGGATCCGACTAAATTACAAAGGTGAATAATTATCTGCATGCAATACTGGACGGCCCTGTGGCTTGGCCACCGGTTAGCGGGAGCACACATGGATTCATAAGAGAGACATTTATCTCGCCGGGGAGGTTATTGTTGCCAGACACCTAACACTATCGGAGGGATTTCGAGGGGCACTAAATAAATTTTGGTGAATAAATGAAGAGCGCTTGTATGTGAGAATGTGAGTGCGTATGATAAAAGAATGAATCTTAGATTAAGGCCGATAGGAGTTAAGTGCAGCTCGGTTAGGACAGTCACGACAATGATTCTCGAGGGCACTTAAATTCAGCTACGCTAATACGATATAAGTGGGCAAATTTGAAAAGGGTAGAGTAGACCAGTGATGATGAATTGGTGAGTGGACAAATGACCATCCAGTTAGTCAAGTTAAACGCCAACAAATGGCTTGGCAGTGATCATTAAGACCCCAACTGCCTTATCCGGCCTTTCTCTCACTGTGTCGATTACCCACGGGTTGGAACCTGTCCATCCTGCCCGAGCAGTGAAGTTACCGAGTCGACGTCTATACAATGCGATGATGATCAAGCCTCAAAATGAAAGCATCTCCCATCAGATGCATTTGTATGCCGGGTGGGCTTCCAGAAATCAACTTTACTTACGCACGCACTTCCAGTCTCCAACAGCACAATCCCAGCGCTTCACAGTGACCCCGAACTAACCACTCCTAACAGACCAACAAGAAACCCCCCCCCCCCCCCCCGAAAACAACTCCACCCCCACTCCACCGCACCCCTGTTCAGTCCCCCGCGCTACAATGGGATGGGATGGGATGGGATGGGATGGGATGGGATGGGATGGGATGGGATGGTACGGTATGGAATGGTACGTGATGCCTGGTAAAGGATGGAGGACGGCGCAGAGGTAGGGGGCGACGCATCTGTGATGAAAGGGGTGGGACGGATGAGACGTGAGAAAGGAACAAGATGAGACAGCAACAGGAACAAATAGTATGCGACGGAAGGAAAAGAAAGGGACAGATGGTCAGGTTTCCGTAGACATGCTAATTGCTAACTTATGTAATGTAATATGTGGGAGGGAAAATGATATATGAGAGTAATGAAGGGAACAGTAAGAGGGAGCGAGAGCGAGCGAGGCAGTGGAATCAGCTGGGACTAAGTGGAACGGATGACGAAGATGCTGAGCAGAAAGGCAGTTATCAAGATGGAATGTCACAGTTCCCCTTTCCATTTCTGACGTTCCCCTGCCCCCTCCCTCCCTCAGGCGGCGCCTCCTGGCTGGGCTGCGCGCTCAACTGTTTCGTCCACTGTGTTATGTACGGCTACTACTTTCTGGCGGCGCTGGGACCGGCAGTGCGCCGCCACCTCTGGTGGAAGCGCTACCTCACCCAGCTGCAGATGATCCAGTTCAGCATCATCCTGCTGCACATCATCAGCATGAGGGTGAGTTGCTGGTCGAGCAGGGTAATGAAGGCAATCTATCCGTTGTGTTAGTCCAGGCACCGTACGAGTGATCTACAACCTAGTAAAGGCGACAAACTCTCAGTTCTAGCAAAATAGAGAGATGCCGTTAACCAGGGATTCAAGTTTTCCGTTGATATTGGGATAAAAACCCAACATTTCTTCCGCTTCGGAAACCTTCTTTTTGTCATGGAAGTGTTTTGTTTATTTATAATACGCATATTGCACATTTTAAAATGAACCATATGGAACACTACACCGCAAGTCCTCCCAACATTCTCTGACTCGTGTGTGTGCCTGCTCCGCTCCTCAGCTGCCGGGCCTGCGGTGCGGCGCGCCCCTCTGGGCCGGAGCCATGACCTTTGTCTACCTCCTGGTGCTCACCGGACTCTTCCTCAACTTCTACATGCGCTCCTACCGTGGCGACGCCAAGCGGCAGAGCGGCGAACCCAAGCCGCGAGCCGCGTCGACAGAGGTCACTACCAGTACACCCGTCAAGAAACAAAAGCACTTGCCGCTAATATGGCGCATGCTGCAGACCCATGGTCTCGGCTGTTTTCACCAGAACGACTGAGGGCTGAGTGGACGATAAGGCAGACCAGCTCAGTGGCGGTCAACCTCTGCCCTTCTCTTACTCTATCTCCTGAAAGATGAGGACGGGCCATGACCGTCCGCCTTCCACCCTTTAGACGCGGCTGGTCCCTTCCCCATTGCAGCCACCGTTCCGTGCTTCTATCCTTAGGATACTGAAATCCTTCTCCTCCACGCCGCAACCCCCTCCGGGCTGGACAGGCAACTTTATCTCGTGCGGGCTGCTCCCATGGAGCGGCACCGCTGCTCCCGAGGGAGCGCACCCCGTAGCCGGGTGCAGTGAGTACCTTGGGGCTGGTCGGCCTGTCTTTCGGGACGTACTCAGCTCCGGTGACTCACTAGGGTGCCTGCCCAGACCATTGTCTCCCCCTAATTCCTATCATCCTTCCGGCTCTGAAATGGTCTCGTCAGACCGAAAGGGCCTAACTCAACACAACAAAACAAAACAAACAAACCCATTGCAGCCTTGAGATATGGGGAATCTGTCATTCACCGGCCCAGACCTACGGCGTTTCAGGTGCAGACAAACTGTTGTATTATGTTCTGTGGCATGTAGATGCTCGGGCAGCGTGAGGTTGTTCTTAGGTGGAAGAAACTCCGGTATCTTTCCTTAATTAGAACCTAGATGTAGCGCATATTTATGCATAATATTTGAGGGGGCTACTCTTACTTTACGTGGAATAGTGTCAACTTTTATCAGCAGATTCTTCTGACAGAGTCATGCTTCAATGCTATTTATCTTCGCATTATGAGTAAAATGTTGTAACAGCTAATATAGGCGGATGCTTGTCAGCCAATTAACTGCCAATATTGTTCGTATCAAATGGCAAATACTAATTTAGGTATCTAATTATGCCAGAGGAATCCAATATATGCTGGTGTTGTACAGGCGTGCCATCATAATGCTATGAAATGTGATTGTGTAAATACATTTAAGAGGAGGTATAAGAGGTCACTTCTTCGACATTTCAGTAGAGAAGCTGACATGATGAATGCCAACATCGATCAAAAGCATGGAGGGAGGGAGAGAAGAGGGAGGAGGGAGGAAGGCGAGGAGAGAGAGAGAGAGAGAGAGAGAGAGAGAGAGAGAGAGAGAGAGAGAGAGAGAGAGAGAGAGAGAGAGAGAGAGCGCGTGCCAATCACTCAAAGTCCGTGCCCATGACGGGATTCGAACCCGGGACCCACCGTGTCGGCGGTGATGAGGCGTCCGCCGGCGGCGCTCCAGACTGCGATCGTCACCGGACTCTTGTGCAGGCTCTGAATGTCCGTCAGAGACTTATCCTGCTCGTTCCAGGTTTGTAACACTGCGAGGCAGAGTGCCGGTATTAGTATCATAAAAACGATAAGAGTTGTCAGTTTCAGTTTGGGCGAGTTGTCAGTTTGGGCGACACGTCAATATCAGTGTTGATGTTGACAGGGTCACTCCTCAGTTTCAGTGACATTGTGTCAGAGTGGATTTCATAGTGTCACTGGTCACAGTATTATAGTGTCATAAAGACAACGACGCGGGTTCGGGTGGACGAACGGCGAACGACCGGGGGAGTGCGAAATGCATCATAAGGACGACGGTATAAGATGTCTTTTGTCTAAGCGAAAACCACGTAGACTGAATGGCGATGCCAAGCATTTACACAATACACGGTCCACGGACATAAGACACGTTTGAGCACAGTAAAAGCTATCAGACTGTCAGCAGTGTAGGAGAGGTCAGTGACTCAGTATATATGCACGTCCAAAATTCCCAATCCCAACATGGTTACCTGATCTCTGAATAACCGTTCTGAGCATGTCTGGAATCCTAAACCTTGTTTCCTAGGTCAGGATGTGTGCATTCCACCCACCTCCTGTCTCCCATCCCAGAAGCAGCACTTTCTTGATGGGGTGCCACACGATAGACGTGACCTGGGTGTTGGAGGGCGGCACAGTCAGGCCCGGAACCTGGTCACCCTGGAAGAATACAGTAGACGTCAGTTTGGGGCAGGACAGATGTGTGACAATAAACAAAGGCAGAACAGATGGTATTAAAAAGACTGAAGTGGCTCTGGTGAGCTACATATCTGGTGTGACAATGATCAAGACACTTGAGTACCTATTAGGACTTGACAGAGAGGCCTTACAGGTTTGAAATCAATTTAATGCTTTCATTGCAAGTGGATTTTTCCTAGTGGCCTGCTAACTGCTCTGCTGATTGAATCTCCTGTGACACTATCTAGTATGGACACTGGCCAGTCCTTGTCTGACCTCACCTCATCATTGTAGATGCTGACCCCGCCACCCTGCTGTTCCGAGTACCAGCTGACAGCCACCAGTGGTGCTACTCGGTGCCACTCCAGGCCCACCTTGAGCACTCCCAACTGCTGATCGTCGATGTAGCGGTCAAAGTACACCGACATCTTTACCTGTCAAACACAACAACTGTCACATCCAACCAATAAATAACAAAGCTAGTCCAATTTTAAATCAAATTGCAGTTGCAGCCAGCAATTTAAGACACTAGGCAGATCGATGAAAGCTAGGTAGTAGGGGTATTTATTTACTTTAGGACCGGCAGCCTTTACTTTTATTGAAAACCTCAAGTGATAGTAAAAAGCATATCACATGACATAATTTGACCTCCTGATTTCATAGCTGATAGTTGTTCATGGCACAAACAAGTTTAAATGCAACAAGTTTAATAATACCTACCTAATTAGTTGGAGTACTGATGCTGCAATGAATCATGCAATGGGCAGAGGCGATTTTGCCCGCATTTCATTGCAAAAGATCAGATCAATGCTGATGTGTTATAGGACTGAGCGAAGCATCTTGATCTCCCACAGCTGCAGCATCTTGCCCTTGGCCTTCACCATAAGTTACAAGGCGCTGCACAGGCAATGCCAGCGTTAACTTTTGCACAAATATCTACTGTATCAATAAGGGAACTATACTGAATGGACTGAATGCAAGAAATCCGTCTTCAACGTACGTCAACTATAAAAATAACAAGAAAATAATAATTCAACTTCAAGACGATACAAAACACAGAAACACGCGCCGGTTTGTTATTTTGGAATGTTGCCTACTGTCGTCTGCACGAACTAAAGTAATGCTAAAAATAAGTGCTTCCAAATCGAAATGGTTTATAATAAAACATCGTTTGAGATAGTTAAATAGGATCAATTCATTTCTTGATACATACAAAACCTGTTTTATATATACATACAAGACTAATGATAGGAACATAATTTAATCATAAACTTAATTAGAAGATAAAAGTGATAAAAAATTAATTGCATTGAAATAGTGAGGGCTCAATCTAATATGGTATCAATTTGTGCATACGTAAACTGCGCAGCTGTGACAACCATAAGCATGGAAATTGCGCGTGCTCAGGTGCTGATATTGATATAGCTGGTTCCAGGATGTAACGGAAGTTGGCACAGATTCAGCACAGATTCAGCACAGCACAGATTCGGTAGGGGGAAAAAAGGCCCCGGTAGAGGGAAACCTTTATGACCCGTTTTCCCCTAGAAATGACGTCACAAAGAGGTAAAAATGGGTATCAATCGAAAGTTCTCGTTTACCCAGACACAGTCCTGCAGGAAAATTTCACTTTTTCCCCATAGGAAAGTTTGTACGGGAAAATCAAAATTTTGGGTCAATGGGGGGTCCCCCCGATTTCGTTCAAAATCGGCACACAGGTGCCCCACCACCAGCCGAGAAACTTTCCCCAAAACGGTCCCCGTTGCATTGACGTTTAAGGCCCGTAAAGCCCCCTAGACTCGTAAAATATCCGTAAAATCGCCTTTGTACGGACAAAAAAGTGGTGCTATGGTAAAAATGGGTATCAATCGAAAGCTCTCGTTTACCCAGACACAGTCCTGCAGGAAAATTTCACTTTTTCCCCATAGGAAAGATTTTACGGGAAAATCAAAATTTTGGGTCAATGGGGGGTCCCCCCCGATTTCGTTCAAAATCGGCACACAGGTGCCCCACCACCAGCCGAGAAACTTTCCCCAAAACGGTCCCCGTTGCATTGACGTTTAAGGCCCGTAAAGCCCCCTAGACTCGTAAAATATCCGTAAAATCGCCTTTGTACGGACAAAAAAGTGGTGCTATGGTAAAAATGGGTATCAATCGAAAGCTCTCGTTTACCCAGACACAGTCCTGCAGGAAAATTTCACTTTTTCCCCATAGGAAAGTTTGTACGGGAAAATCAAAATTTTGGTTCAATGGGGGGTCCCCCCGATTTCGTTCAAAATCGGCACACAGGTGCCCCACCACCAGCCGAGAAACTTTCCCCAAAACGGTCCCCGTTGCATTGACGTTTAAGGCCCGTAAAGCCCCCTAGACTCGTAAAATATCCGTAAAATCGCCTTTGTACGGACAAAAAAGTGGTGCTATGGTAAAAATGGGTATCAATCGAAAGCTCTCGTTTACCCAGACACAGTCCTGCAGGAAAATTTCACTTTTTCCCCATAGGAAAGATTTTACGGGAAAATCAAAATTTTGGGTCAATGGGGGGGTCCCCCCCCGATTTCGTTCAAAATCGGCACACAGGTGCCCCACCACCAGCCGAGAAACTTTCCCCAAAACGGTCCCCGTTGCATTGACGTTTAAGGCCCGTAAAGCCCCCTAGACTCGTAAAATATCCGTAAAATCGCCTTTGTACGGACAAAAAAGTGGTGCTATGGTAAAAATGGGTATCAATCGAAAGCTCTCGTTTACCCAGACACAGTCCTGCAGGAAAATTTCACTTTTTCCCCATAGGAAAGTTTGTACGGGAAAATCAAAATTTTGGGTCAATGGGGGGTCCCCCCCCCGATTTCGTTCAAAATCGGCACACAGGTGCCCCACCACCAGCCGAGAAACTTTCCCCAAAACGGTCCCCATTGCATTGACGTTTAAGGCCCGTAAAGCCCCCTAGACTCGTAAAATATCCGTAAAATCGCCTTTGTACGGACAAAAAAGTGCACTGGCGGATCCAGGCTTGCGTTTTGGGGGGGGCCAACTCATGCAGGAGCCAAACCTAGGGTACCCCCAAATCCTGTTTTCTCATCGGATTTAGGCCACTTATTTTTCGTCACAGCCCTGACACTATGAATTTTTTTTAACTAAAAAGAAAAATATATAAATGGTAGCCCACCCGACCCATGCCTTTATATTACTTTGTTAACACTTACCATTGTTTTTATCGACCAGTTAAAGGGACCCTCCCACCTTAACATTAGATTTGAGCTGAGATAGCCAAAATGGGGTCCCTGGCTCACAATTACCGGTTTCGGCACGCACTCACAACATCGAGAAATGCCTTAAATCGGAAATATTGAATTTCAAAATTGCAGCATTTTGATTCAGAGGGGCTAATGCTTTTGGATACCCCTCTGAATGTGTGACGTCAGCGGAGATCTAATGATTTTTTAATATTTAACTAAAACGTTTGGTAGCATGCGGTGGTATATGTAGGCTGCTTTGCGCGCAACAAATGCCGCACTTTCAAATAAAGTCGCTAGGAACAGCAGCTGATATCCCAAAAAGTAAACAAAAATAAAAGTCTAATCTCTTGAAAACCGGTGAATATTTTTCGATAAAATTTGGTAGATATTCGTTTTCGCCCTTTCTGAACCTAGCGGCATCACTTTCATGCCAATTCATTAACTTTTTTGAAGGTGGGAGGGTCTCTTTAACCCGCTTCGAGTCAGTGCTTGGGTCCCTTTGCGGGCCGGGAGGTGGTAAAACAGCCCTGTCTAACTCGGCTCCTGGGCCACGCCCTGATTGAACTATGTTTCATTATCGTTTGGGGAGGGGGAAAACGGGCCACTTTAGGCCTCTGGGAAGGGGGCATGGCCCTAAATGCCCCCTCCCTGGATCCGCCAGTGTAAGAAGAGACCATTGGAGCTGCAGTTGGGTACCTCAGACATCAGGGTACGCCCTCAGATGTATGTATAGGACTCGCATGGAGACCTCTTATGCTATAGTGTACTGAAAGGACCCAAAGGAGCCTGTCTATATGGGCTCCCGGAGATAGACGTGGGCCCTCAGGAGCCCGCCAGAGCCCCAATGAGGGATAAGTGAGGGATACCAAGTGCCTGCAATTGCATATTGCATAAGCCATAACGCCTTTACAAATCAATATATTATGCATCAGTGGCAGATCCAAGGGGGGCCACATGGGTCATGACCCCCTTGGTGCCCGGGGGCACCACAGGCCTGTCAGGGGCACCACCGGCCTAGTAGGGGCACCACCAGCCCGCCAGGGTCACCACAGGCCTAGCAAGGGCACCACGGGCCTGTGAGGGGCCCACAGGCTTGTCAGGGGCACCCCAGGTCTGTCAGGGACACCAGAGACCTGCCAGGGGCGCCGCCGGCCTCGCAGGGGCACCATGGGCCTGTCAGGGACACCAGAGGCCTAGCAGGGGTACCACAGGCCTTACAGGGGCACCACCGGCCTTGCAGGGGCACCTTGGGCCTGTCAGGGGCACCACAGTCCTGTCAGGGCCCAGGGGCACCAGCGGCCTAGCAGGGGCACCACAGGCCTGCCAGGGGCACCACCGGTCTAGCAGGGGCACCATAAACCTGTCAGGGGCCCCACCGGCCTCGCAGGGGGCACCACCGGCCTCGCAGGCATCACGGCATCACGCAGGGGCACCTTGGGCCTGTCGGGGGCATCACGGGCCTGTTGGGGGCACTTTAGGCTTGTCAGGGGCACCACAGTCCTGTCAGGTCCCAGGGGCATCAGCAGCCTAGCAGGGGCACCCTAGGCCCGCCAGAGGTACAGCCCACCGCTAAAGTAATGTAGGGTTTTACCAAACTCAACGGTTGGCTTTGACTGGCGATTGTTTAATGCGAAGTGATTGAAAAGAAGATGTCAATAGCTTAAGTTGCAACTGCAAGGGTGACGATACATATAAGCTACATTCAAAGTTTCATTGTAGTCTGGCTAATCGTTCCTAAGCTTCAGAAGCAGAACATACCCATGACTGAAACCCCACATTACTTCTGCTGTGGACTGTACCACAGGCCTGCCAGGGTCCAGGGGCACCACAGGCCTAGCAAGGGCACCACGGGCCTGTCAGGGGCACCTCAGGCTCCCGTGCCCCCCCCCCCCTCCCCCCCCCCCCCAGATCCGCCAGTGATGCCACACCACGCGAAACACCGCCAACTACCAGCTGCCGCGCCATAAACACGTGCCAACAACAGTCTTTTTTTTAAGGTCGACTCCGCTCGCGCAACTTTTGACTGACCCTCACTGCTACTATATTGCTTCCATATTATGCTGTGGAAAGCTTTACTTCACCAAGTGGCTAAAAACCTCCATCAAGGTATATTTTCTTAGCAATTTTTCTGGCGTTTTGGGGGGGGCCAAACAGGCCACTTTAGGCCTTTGGGGGGGGCCATGGCCCCCGTGGCCCCCCCTGGATCCGCCAGTGAAAAAGTGGTGCTGTGGTAAAAATGGGTATCAATCGAAAGCTCTCGTTTACCCAGACACAGTCCTGCAGGAAAATTTCACTTTTTCCCCATAGGAAAGATTTTACGGGAAAATCAAAATTTTGGGTCAATGGGGGGTCCCCCCCGATTTCGTTCAAAATCGGCACACAGGTGCCCCACCACCAGCCGAGAAACTTTCCCCAAAACGGTCCCCGTTGCATTGACGTTTAAGGCCCGTAAAGCCCCCTAGACTCGTAAAATATCCGTAAAATCGCCTTTGTACGGACAAAAAAGTGGTGCTATGGTAAAAATGTGTATCAATCGAAAGCTCTCGTTTACCCAGACACAGTCCTGCAGGAAAATTTCACTTTTTCCCCATAGGAAAGTTTGTACGGGAAAATCAAAATTTTGGGTCAATGGGGGGTCCCCCCCGATTTCGTTCAAAATCGGCACACAGGTGCCCCACCACCAGCCGAGAAACTTTCCCCAAAACGGTCTCCCGTGCCTTCAGCATTACGAAAAATGGCAACAGCCCGTGAGCAGCATCAGCGCTCACGCACATGTTCAAGGAAAACGACATGTAATGGACTGTTAACGACGGCCCTCTCCACCAATCAGCGCTCGGCATCTCGAGCGCTGATTGGCTGGTAGCAAACGCGTCATATGTGGGTC